CATAAGTAAGACATTAGTAAGACTAAACTAATGCTACCCTTTTGAAAAGGTAGTAAGCCTCAAGCTACAAACAGAGTTGCTACTGTCACGAAACAGTTGTAGTATAAAATGCATGAAGACAAGAAAATCACAGGAATAGTCTTTAATTCCAACTCACTTACAGGAATACCCATGGAAACTGAATCACAACCATATTACCATAGACAACAACGGACAAAGGAATAGACAGGAACTCAGGATAACAATAGACAGGAACTAATGAGATAATTAGCAAGACAACAGGTGAATGGAACGACTAATCAAACAAACTGCAAACTAGGTCAAACAGACAATTAAGGAAGGCAGAAGCAAAACACAAAGAAAAGTAGCCAAAACAGAACACAACTGTAACTAACAGTAGCACCCCCTCCCGGAAGGCAATCCTCACACCGTAAAGAGTCCATCTAAGAAGGGAGGGCGGGGGCTCTGGAGGAGGAACCAGAGCTGGCAGAGGATAAGGAGCCAGGGACGATGACAGGGGACAAGACCAGGGTGGTGAAGATGATGGGAGGAGCCAGGGTGGAGACAGGAGCAGAAGGAGTCCGGTGGAAATCCAGAGTCCAGCCAGGGTGATGCCCCACAGCGGAGTCGAGGGAGGGAGGAGCCATGGTGTAGAACTCCTTGTCAAGGCCATTGGGACTACGGATGGAGACAGAGCCGATGCGATGAAGAAGGAGCCCAGAGCGCAGACAGAGAGCCGATGGATAGGCACGAGACCTGCAGGATTCGGAGGCCACGACAGAACCGTAGCGACAACCCCCTGAGGTAGAACCAGGGTACCAGAGGGCTAAGGTGGAGCCAGAGGGAGGGCGGAGCCAGATGGAGCCATAGGGGTGAATGGAGCTCAGTGGATGGCTCACAAGTCCGTGGCATAAGCGAGGCAACGTCCAAACAAGGTGGAGCCGGAGGGTCGAGGGAGCAAGCAAGGTGAAGCCATAAGGCTGATGGTCCAGGTGGAGCCGAGGTAGGGAGGAGCCAAGGCGGAGGAGTCTAGACGGTGGGCCGAGGGAACAGAGCTCATTATGACAACATTGTCGTCTGTACGCAAAAAACGTACAAAAAGTAAAATTGTAAAACTACTTCAAACACCAAACGTAAAGTTTCTAGGTTGCACGTCACACGTAGGCTCACTATTGGCCGACGCTGGTCATGTGTGTGATGCGTGTGATGTACAACCTTGAAGCTTTGCGTAGTTTCACTACGTGAAATCTCGAGGCCCACAGAGAAGGAAATTAATAGTTGAATAAAGTCGTTATTTTTGTTTGTTTTTGCGCACAAAAAGTATTCTCGTCGCTTGATAAACTTAAGATTGAGCCCCTGTAGTCACTCAGACTATTTTAACGATGTCTTTCATAACTTTTGGGCCGGCCAGTTTCAATCCCTTAAGAAGCCTATGGAGGAGTGATCCAGCTCTCAGATTTAATCAAAAATATCTTAATTTGTGTTCCGAAGATGAACGAAAGTCTTACGGGGTTGGAACAATATGAGGGAGAGTAATTACTGACAGAATTTTCATTTTAGGGTGAACTAACCCTTTAACTACATTAGTTAATTAAATAAGTTAAAAAATATATTGTTCATTGTTTGATAATGTTAATTAATGTATTTACTAGCGTTAACTAATGGGACCTTATTATAAAGTGTTACAAATTTTCTTTCAACAGTGAATGAATGTTAACATCATTTGTGAACTTGTCCAAAGTAGTTTATGTAGTCAGTTTACAACAATAGTCTATTTACTTAAACATGAATTGCAAATTTCAAATCAACCTGCATTTTAAAAATTCTTTATGCAAGTAAAAGAGTGCTCTGCCTTCAGAAGTTCTAGATGAGCCAGTGTGTTTCTCAGAGGAGGAGGGGAACTGATGTTAGCGCTGTCATTAAGGGCACAGCCGAGAAAAAGGAGACCACGCTGTGCCGTAACCCTTCACCCTGCTCCATCACGGCTCTGTTTGCAGGTTATGTGTGTGAGGCTCATTTGAGATGCAGAGTTAGCCACAGGCTCAGGATAAAGAGAGACACAGACACACAAAGACTTTAGCGTTAGCAGGAAGCAATGAATGAGGCCCTGGGCAAGAATCAAACCAAAGGGGATGTATTTTTTGTAGTGATGCACTTTCTTTTCTTTTTTTTACGGAAACACCAAACAAAAATTTTCAATTTAGCTGAAAACTAAAAGCAAAAATAAAGTTTTTGTAATTTAATTTAAGTGACTGGGTACCTGAACTCGCTATGCTCTTCAGCCTGTCGTGTACTCAGTTGATAAACTAAAACTTTCATTGTAAAGTTCTTCGGCAAACAAGCTGCCTATTCCATATTGCATATTGCTATTCTAGCATCATTTTTTATCACTCGTCCACAAAGCTGCATTTTACCTGATGTAGCTTAATATGTAGTCAAATGCGTCATTGGAGAAGCACGAATTAAACAAACTGTGTCAATCAATGATTTTGGCCCTTTATAAATATAAATATTTGGTTGCTGAAATTTTGGTGCATCACTATTTTACAGTATTTATTTTTTATTTATTTGCTTGCATTACCCTGATTAATAATTGTGAAATTGCAGTGTAATTATGTGTTGTTTTAGAAATGTAACAAAGAAAAAAGATTCAGTAACACTTTATTTTGAGTCTTCTTCAGACATCCTACTAACTATAAGTAACTTTGCAATTACGTTAACTTAGTATAATAACCTGATGCCGAACTTAACAGTCTACTAATACTCTAATGAGAGTTACTTGAGAATGTCTAAAGTGGACTATCAAAATAAAGTGTAACCAATGATTCTTCACATTTCTAGATCTCAGAATTGTGTTAAGACAAGTGTCATTATTACTATTATTCATACTCGTACCGACAGCTAAAACTTAAGGTAACTCCTTAGGCAGCATTTGTAATCCAGACATGGATGATTCCTTAAATTATTAAGGAGCGATGAGCTGTTACTTTAATAAGTGATCAGACGCACCATTTTCACCTGCAAAGTAAAACAGGGAAAAATCCCATAACTTACACTTACGGGGGAACCTGAGCCATATCTAAATCAAAGCAACTGCATAACATCATGCTAAACCCCAAGCAGAACACCTTAGCAACTGCATAGCAACACCCTGGCAACCAGCATCATGGCAGCAAGGTTTGAAGGGGCAAGAAGAGAATAGTTTAAAAATCTAGATGCTCGTGTTCCTCTGTAGACATTAAGTATAAAAATAGACCACGGGAATGGCAATGGACGGCTCAATTACTGTTAATGTAAGTGAGACAGTGAAGAGATAAAACAGAGAGACGAGTGTTACAACTTTTCTATTGTGGAAAGATAAGAGAACTCCCACTGTAAGATCCTGTGTTTTTCTCCGGTTCGTCACTGTCTCATCTGAGTCTAATGTGCTTTCAGAGTGCTCTCTCATGTGTGCACGGGGCCCCAACACAAACCTGCGCCCCACTCTCCTCAACCAGCCTTAACACAAAAGAGCTCTCCTCTGAGGAGCTGCACCTCTCTCTCTCTCGCTCTCTCTCGCTCTGTCTCTCTCTCTCTCGCTCTGTCTCTCTCTCCTCGCCCGCAGGGATCTGGGATTTATGGCTATAGCTCAAGCATATTCTTTGAGCATATTTGATAGGGATTCTTACCCGGGCACCATGGGGACAGTGTGTTACAAGCATCAGATTACCGCCTTTGATCAGCTTTTTTCTCATCACAGAGATTTTCTCATCAAAAAAAGGGCCCCTGCCCACTCAATTACCACTGAACAAAGAGGTCTGCCATATTCCGGATGTCCTCAGGAACAACGTTCATTTTTTTTTTTTTTTTGCAGGTGGTCATGTTACAGTATATGGAAGCTTGTTCCTGGAATAATAATGTTTTGGTAACGCTTCCTTTTACAGTACAGTACTTACGTGTACTTACAGTGTACTTACCTAGAACGTATTGGATAATATAAGGTGAGTACATGGGTTAGGGGTAGGTTCAGGGTTAGTACCTAGTTTTTACCCAGTAATTGTAATTACTATAATAAGTACATAGTATGTACATGGGTAACAGGACTGTTAAAGGAAGCGTTACCTATTTTTTAAAAAGTTAATTGCGACTTTTTATCTCACAATTCTGACTTTTTGTGAGTTTATATCTTGCAATTTGGATTTTCTTTCTTGCAATTGTGAGGTTATAACACGCAATTCTGACTCTTTTCTTTGAATTGTGAGATATAAACTAGCAATTGCGACAAAAAAGTCGAGAAATTAGGGGAACAATTTTTTATTCAGTGGCAAAAAACAAACTTTCGTATGTGATAAGAAAATTTCATACATAAAAAAAGGTTAAAATAAAATCATTGGTTCTTATATATCCACATTCTTTTTTTATATATATATGTTTAGTGTTAGTTACAAGGATTTGTAGTTTTAAATCTAAAAACATAGGTCGCATGGCATAAATGTCTCTCCACTTTACTCAACTTTACTGTCCAACCCCATACAGTATGATGTCATGAGAAATGAGATGCTATACTTCACAAGACAAAAGGGTGAAAACCCTGGGTGGAGACGATTAAAACTGGTCTCAATAGTTGCACAAAAGAAACTTGAGATTATTCAATATTCTGTAGAATAACGAGGAACAGAAGGGAATGAAATAATGCTCATGAAACGTGGGTAAATGGTGGAAATAAACAGACATTATTAGAATTTCATGAGGGAAAAAAAAGTCCGAAATGTTATTTTTGGTTTTGCACTTAAAATACAAGTGAACGAGTAACAGTGATCATGTGACTCAAGCACAAGATTTTATATTTGAACATACTCAAATGTCGCTGGAGATTTTGATCATCAGGTTTATTATCAGGAATGCAACTCGTTCACTTGAATGTTTCATGTTTTCTATTAAATTAGAAAATATTTCAAAATAGAAGCAATTTCAGAAGTGTTCTCAGATGTTCTTGACCCCAGTGTATGTGAGAAACTCACAGCAGGATCCAATGGAGGCAGTCTCATCTCCATGGCCTTGAGCCAGTGTCGCAAGGCCCTGATCTGCCCTCTGAACTCACTCTGCCACAGACTCCACTCCTCTGAACCCATCCTATGAGAGAAAATACGAGAACACATTTACACTTCACTTATACAGTGGAAAGTTGGTCGATGTTTTGAGTGAGCAGAGTTTAAATATAAGCTATGCGTTCCACATGTTTTGGTCACTACATCATTCTTAGACTTCCATTTGTGGTACTTCAGAGTATCCATTATTCTTAAATGTAAATATTAACCATACAGGAGTGGATGAGTCCGTGTGTTTGACTGGTAGTGTACAGTGTTTTTTTTTATTTGGAAATTTTTCTGTCTATTGTTGTCTGTTTTTTTGATTATCTACGAACTAGTGTCTGTACTTTATCAGTTCCTCTTATTACTCAGCACAAAATAAAACAACATTTTGACAAGAGGCTTGTTACTGTGTCATAATTAGAATAGAGTACAATAGAATATATAATTAAAGGTACACTATGTAACAGTTTTTTTGTTCAAAATTAACCACATTTAAAGGGGACCTATTGTGCCTATTATTCTAAGATGTAATATATGTCTCAGGTGTCCCCAGAATGTGTCTGTGAAGTTTCAGCTCAAAATAGCCCACAGATAATTTATTATACCATGTTGTAAATCCCCATTTTTGAGTGGAAGGGAAAACATGGCTTGTTGTCAAGAGTCACTCAAAACTGGTATACGCCCACGGGATGGGCACCGGGAATGCCCTTCCTGTTTGGGTATGTAGCATTTATTGGATGATATCGGAAACCCCTGTGCAGCTGCAATGGGGGTATCTTTGCAGGAAAGAGTGCAGAGAGCCAGACATTCAACTGGTAGCAGCAAAGAAGTTACTCCCAATAGTTCCTGACATGTCTCAGAATAAACGGGAGAGGGCCACGGTAGTCCAAGAGCCCAAGGACGATGCACAGTTACAAATTTTGGCCGCATTACATGACTGAGCTGGTAAGCTTGAAACAAGTAGTTCTCCAGTTAGCACACAACCATCTGCACTCCCTGCTGCACCCTCCCATAGAGATGAGTTTACATCATATCAGCGAGAGAGGGATGATTCTATAGATGTCATATCACTGCTTGCAAATAATTCCCTTTATGGCAGTGAATGCTGAGACGATGAGGAAGATGAATCCAGGTTTCAGAAGGTAGCCCGCATTCTGACATTCTTTCTCACATTTTAAATGTGGCTCGTTCATCAAAATGAACAAATCTTTTTTCGAGTCATTTGATTCATTTAACGACCGAAATGACCGGAAAAAGATTTGTTCATTTTGATGAACGAGTTCGAACAGGAGAGTTACACAGAACAGAGAAAGGCGAGCATGTGAGCTTATAAAACTTAAACGTTGTTATTTATTTTTTAAATGAGCGATCGTTTCGCTTGATAAGACCCTTATTCATCGTCTGGTGTCATTTAAAACCATTTGAACAGTTTGCAGTTTGCACTGAAACTGTCTTTTGGACCTTGAACCGTTTGGTGCCCAGTAAAGTGCATTATATGGAGAAAAATCCTGGAATGTTTTCATCAAAAACCTTAATTTCTTTTCGACTGAAGAAAGAAAGACATGGACATCTTGGATGACATGGGGGTGAGTAAATTATCAGCAAAAGTTTTTTTAAAAGTGAACTAATCCTTTAATACCATAAAGGTCTACATTACAGCCACCTCTCACTTTCACACGTTAGTGGATGGTGTAAGTATTGGCAAACACCTTTTGGTGAATTCCTTGAGGGTGCACACCATTTATGCCCAAGGAGAGTTATGAGATCACCTGCTTGGGACCTTACTATTGTTTTACACTCATTAACCAAAACACCTTTTGAACAAGTCGATCTCAAGTTCTTGACATGTAAGACATCTTCCTCATGGCGATATATTCAGCCAAGAGTTAGTGAATTGCACTCTTTATCAGTCAGTGAAGAGTGCTTGAGGTGGGAGGCGGAAAAAACAGGGCTTTTCACTGGCCAAACTCGTCATTCCTTTACAAGTTACAGGGTTGGATGATTCTTCTCTATGTCCTATTAGAGCATTGCACACATACATTGAGCTCACTCGTCCGTGTGCAGGCAAACGTGCAGGCAAGCCTGTGTTTAAGCAACAATTATCTCATTGGGTAGTGGATACAATGTCACAAGCTTATTCCAACCAGAATTGATTGATTGATTGATTGATTGATCTTTATTAATCCCGATAGGGAAACTGGTTAATCATAGGTAGGTGAATCTACCTATCCCTGGTGATCTGGTTGCTCACTCTACCAGGAGCATGGCTTCTTCTCATGGTAGCACTCTCAGACATCTATGCTGCAGCCTCTTGGAGTACTCCAAGATTTTATAGGATTAATGTAACAAATACGAATTCTTTGGGGTCCGCCCAAAGATACTAGTCCCTCGTGACCCTGCTGGTATAAGTCATCCAGGATAAGACCGTGGTGATGGTCTAAGTAAGGTCAAAATAGATCGTAAGTTATGTCTATAACTATGGATTTATGAGACTAAACGATGACCGTCACCATCCCTTGTCACTCAGGATGAGCGTTCCAGGCAAGAGGAAGTGGTTGGTTCATCCAGATGTTATATAGCCAACCCCTAAGTCAGTCACTTGACATTGTTGATATTAGGTCTCGAGGATAGGCGGAAGAATGGCGTCCTTCAGGATAAGACCATGGTGACGGTCATTGTTCGGTCTCATAGATCCATAGTTTATTTGCATGCATTTTAAAGCCATATTATTAATAATTATAATAATTCGTTACATTTATATTGCGCTTTTCTGGGTACTCAAAGCGCTTTACATTGAAGGGGGGAATCTCCTCAACCACCACCAATGTGCAGCATCACCTGGATGATGCGACGGCAGCCATATTGCGCCAGAACGCCCACCACACACCAGCTTACCAGGGAAGAGGAGACAGTGATGAAGCCAATCAATATATGGGGATGATTAGGAGGCCATGATGGACAGAGGCCAAGGGGCAAATTTGGCCAGGATATCAGTTTAAACTTTTGATATATGGTTTTCTGAGCACACACACCTGAAGCCCGTAAACAGAAAGCTGGCTGTCAGACAGCGTGTCCCGTGAGCATTAAACAAATTTCTCTTTCATGTCTTATTGCACTTAAACTGTCAAATACACACAAGGTTATGTCAAAAACACACAAAGTACACAAACACAGTCTGTTGTGTCTGTGAACCTTAATAGCAAGTAAAGAAATCGCATGTGTATATTAGATCTGTGTATTAAAGCGACAGCAGTTTACAGCAGTACGTACTGCTATATGCCGGCGGCGGCAATATGAATCAAACAACAATAGGAAAACAAAATCACTCACTGCTCTTGATTGAATAACTTTAATAAGAATACATTTCTTACTTGAATGCTGCTGTTAAATGCTCTGGCGAGGAGATAAACATGGCGGACTGTGGACAGCTCACTCAGGGGAGGAGCCAAGCTAATAGGGCAGATTCCATGCTAGTCATGGGCGGGGCCTATTAAAATGTGATGTCACATTGGAGCACATTCCTGAACGGGTTATTTTGAGACACTAGGTATGTTGGTGGCTAGCTAGGGTGGTTGTGTACACACACAGCAGACACATAAATATGTTCAAAAACAATATAAAAGTGAATTTTGCATTATAGGTCCCCTTTAAATAATGAGTCAATACATCATCAATCCTTCTTTCCAAACGTGTTTTTTTTTCTAGACCTGTTGGGATGGTTTTTGCAGGAAATTGTGCACATACATCACTCGCCTGTGTCACGTCATTTCCGTAAATAGAGAAAAGTTGCTCATGTGTCATAACAAATCGGGTCTCTATCAACGATCACTTAATATTTGTAAAGTTTCATATATGTATAGCTTACTATATAGTGCAAATTGAACGTAATTTCTTTATGATAAACTGTTCATTAATATTATTAGTAGTAATAATATACTATTAAGTGGATAATTGAACATCATTACATTCTTTTTATAACTGAAATATTTGGACATTAAACACTTAACACGTAATTACATTAAAGCTGCAGTCCGTAGTTTTTCCTCTTTGTCGCCATCTCTGTTCGAAATCTGCAATTGCAGTTATTCGCAGAATTATCAACTTTATGTGGGTTGTGCCTCGACACGGCACAGCGCGGATGAACACAATGTTTGAGGAGAGTGTGTGTCTGTCAGTCGCCGCCGGTGTGGATACTGGCATTCACAATCACAGATTATACTTTTTGGAAGCATGACCAACATAATAATTTTCACTGGAAACAAGTAAGTAACATCCACTTTTGTTCTGACCAACTAAGGGGAAAAAAATCATTGCAGTAAATCGCGCTGATTAAATCTAACGATCGCATATCATATTACGTCAAACCGTGCAAATTATACTTTGTTCTCAAATTGTTAATGTTCAACATCAGCATTGCGTGACTACATTTAATGCCCTTCAGATATTTATCCTTGTTTTCGCATGGGCCGGTTGCAGTCTCTTTTTTCTGTAGCCACTCCGAAGTCAGAAGTCTTTTGCATTTTACAGCGGGTGAATCTCTAGTTGTCGCTGGTGATTGTCGTTTGAACCTTTCTGGATCCGCCATCAAATTAATAAGTTTAGTTATATCAAGTGCTGTGAGAAAAGGCTATAAATCTCCACCTCCAACATCCTCACACTCATAGCCTACTAGCCGAGACTCTTCTTTATGTGTACAGATGTGTGTGGACAGATGTGTGTGTACAGATGTGACATAATGACGCAAAGACATGCCCGAATCTCCCGCGGAAATCCACCAGTACCACTGGAGTTAAAAACATTATTACAAGCTTACCGTTTTGAATCGAGCTACGGCAAGCAGAGAGTTTTGAACACTGACTGGTTATGTAGTTGCTCAAAATATTTTTGGGATAATTTTTAAACCAAAAAAGTTACGGACTGGAGCTTTAAAAATGATTTTAAATACATGTCCTGCATGGACAAAAAAAAAAAAAAAGAAAGAAAGAAAAAAGGCCAAGCCCAAAATGGCTAAACACTAAGCTTTTAATTGTCTTGCCCAGAAATTGGTCAGTAAATTAGCAGTATTTAAGCAAATGCACTACTTAAATAGCCATTGCTGTCTCAGAAAAAACATTAAATGCAGAATAAAGTTTTTGTCAGAACATGGGAAGTTGTGTGTGGAATGATGAAACAAGAAACATGGTGATGCTCCAGAGCGTCGTCTTCGAATATCTGCTGAGAAATATAATAATGTGCATCTCTACCACAGTGAAGCATGAAGAGACTGTCATTGTGTGAGGAGCTTTTTAGCTGCCGATATTGGTGAGCTACTTCACTGTGAAAAGTCATTTAATGCTTTGGAGTACAGGAGAATATTACAGAATGGCTTGTTTGCCACAAATGACACGTTATTACCTAAAGAGGATTGATCGGATGTTATTTTTCAATAAGACAATGCTACTGCACAAATTGCAAAGACATCCAAAAAGTGGCTTAAGAACAAGTCCATCAGGCTCATGTTTTGGCCTGGTCAGAGTCATGATTTGAACCCTATAGTGAATATTTGGACGAACTGGGAGACATTTTCAACTACTCATGAACTGTTTGAAGCCATCAACATTGAGTGAAACAACACTGACACTTCTTCATGTAAAAACCTGTCTGCAAATTTACCCACACGGCTTAAACATTTTAAGAAAACAAAGGGGAAGGCTATTCTGGGCGAAGTTACTTTATCTACAGCATTTGTGCAGTTCTTGCTAATTTCCTGACCCGTAATTTGTGAAAAGACCATTAAAAGACCACTAAATATGTTGCCATTTTTGGCCAAGCCCATTTTTAAATTTTTGTCCAGGAGTGTAGGGTAAGTGCAAATGTGTGTATAAACTAAGCTATCAGGCTAATCGAGTATCTGTATTCTATGCTAATACATAAGCTAACTCATTATGGCCTTTGCAGATGGCCTTTGTATTTGTTCGCTTGTTGTTTGTTTGCTATTTGTTTGTTATTTGTATTACATTGTGAAGCGACCTTGGGTTCTTGAAAGGCGCTATAGAAAATAAACATATTATTATTATTATTATTATTATAGCATAGTTCAAACAGCATTTATCATAACATGATTTTTTAGAAATTGTAATCAGGCACTTAAGAGAGTCCCAAAAGTAATCTGAGCCAATGGGATTGCTTGGGGTCTTAAGAGACCCGGGGCACGTTCAAGATCACAACGGTGCGCAACGTTTTGCTACGGTTTCCGGGTTGAACGTCATGTTTCTTGGAAACGGCGTGCACCGGTGTGCAACGGGGTTTGAGATGCGTTTTCTCTTGTTTGGTGGGCGTGTCAGAACTGCAGTCCAATCAGCAGCAACATGTATATAAAGCACACGGTATTAAAGAGAACTCGCACAATGGAAGTAATTTACAAATGTGTTCGATACGCAACAACTGAGGATATTAGAAGACATGTTTGTCGTAAGTATTATTGTAAAAATATAGGATATCAACATAATGATGCAGTTGTTTATATTTTTAGCTTCATTGCAAGTGTGTGACATTTGGTATAGAAATAAACAATGCATGTAAAGTGCTTTTCCTAAAAATGAGAAAGAAAATACAGGGTATTAATAAAACATTATGAACAACAAGAATGTGAGGCTATAATAGATGTGTTTTAGTCTTTATTAGGTAAGATGTACGTGCTTCCATTTCAGTTTCCACAAATCCCTTCACTCGATTGGGATGTTCTCTTGTGTTCTGGGCGGCAAGTGCAGTAACTGTAACATCGGGCATATTTTGTAGTACTAAACATATTTATACCGACTTCATCAGGCTCCGAAAATTCTTCACAAAGAACACAAAAAGCCTTCTCAGCTGCCGTAGTTGCAACTCTTGCGTCATCACAACAGTGCGTTCAATGCATCACCGTTTCTGTTTAAAAAACGTTCTGCAACGTTTTGTCGGCGCTGAACGCAGCCCCGATTTCAAGGGAGGACCTGATTTGTCACCACACCGGCTAGCGTGTAGGTGAGGGAGTGGCAGAGGTTAGGTGTTACACCCATAGATATCATATAATAAAGGCTAGATGTCTTCCGGCGGAGTCACTTCCGGCATCACCGTTCGGCCATCTTGTCACAGGCAGGCTCTGATGTAAGGTGAGTGATCAGTATGAACACAAATCCTCTTATCTCGCTGAAATCTTGACGGATTTACAAACGGTTTGGTTTCTTACAAACGTTATTAACATGGCTATAATTCTGAATGCTTGAACATATATGTTATAATTATTCATGTATGCAGTGTCATAACTACATCTCTGACGTTTATAACAAACCAAACTGTTTGAAAATCGGTAGAAAATTGAGCAAGTTATGGTTATTTAAAAGTACATGCACCATTAAAACACAATGTTACGAGTGAGCGAGCTGCCTGTGACAAGATGGCCGCCACGTGCGGATGTCGACCTCCATTGGCCAGCAGCGCGGACGAGACATATAGCCTTTATTATACGATATCTATGGTTACACCAAGCGAGAAAGGTTCACACGAAGCATCTAAATCTCCAACATCTGGGGAATCACATGTTTAAAAAAATGGGTGGAGGAAGTTAAGCCAATAAGCGCAGTTATTTGTTCAGGCGCTCTGTCGGCTTTAAAGGGATAGTTCACCCAAAAATGAAAATACTCTCATTTACAGAATGACATCAGTTGTTCCAAACCTGCATGATTTTCTTTCTTCTGTTGAACACAAAATAAGATATTTTGAAGAATGTTGGTAACCAGACAATTGACGGCAGCAATTGACTTCCATAGTAGAAAAAATAAATAAAAGTCAATGGCTACCGTCAAGTGTCTGGTCACCAACATTCTTCAAAATATCTGAAAATATCATTTTTATTTTTGGGTGAACTATCCCTTTAAATTGTTTAATAAGTGTGTAGTCAATATCAAGACAAGATTTAATATATAAGATACTTATAAATGTGCTCAGAATTCAGAAATTGGGTATAGTCCTGAGAATCCTACATGTTTGTACAAGCCACCGTGGAATAGGCTAAATAGTTGACTAACTGGCCAAATAAGCAATGAAATATATGAATGTTGAGTTACAGATTCCACTCAGTAAAGCAGAGATAAAAGGAAAAGAAAGAATTAAAGAACACATGAATAAAAATTGGCAGGAAATGTTGGACGGGGGGAAAAAAACAGACACCTACAATTTCCCCTACAATATCCAAAATACAAATTGGCAAAGGGAGAATATGCTTTAATAGTAGGAAAGAAGATATAATTATTACTCGACTTTAACATTCTGGTTAAAATCATTCATTAAATCTGACAGGATTATTTATATCCTGTAGTGAAGCAGAGACTATTACGCATGTACTACAAATGTCACAGTTGTGTGTGTCTTGTTGTCAGTCACATGTCTTCATTTGTTCCGTTTTCCCGCCACTCATCTGTTTCCATGGTTACTGTCATTTAGTTCATCTGCATCACCTGTGTTTAGTTAATCATCATCATCTGTTTCACCTGTGTTCTGCAAATCAATGTGCATCTGTTTGTAATTAGTTCCCTTCTGTTCAGTCAGTCTTGGTCCGTTCTACTTTGTTGTGTGTGTGATCCTTCTACCTGTCAGTGCCTGCTATATTATTGTTAGTAAACACTTTGCATTGAAACTTTGGACTCCTCGTCTTCTTTTGCCTGCACCACACCGTGACAACAACATTCTGCTGTATTTACCAAGGAAAAGGGGGCGTTGTTTAAGAAATTGAGCGATATAGGTATAATCAATTTCACTATCAAATCTTGATGCCTTCAAGAATACAGAGAGAAATACGACTAAATCACATATTGCATCCAAGACATTTTATAGTCCCACAGAAGTGTCTTTAACTAAGTACTAACATTTAAATGAATAATTTACTGTGTACATACATGTTTTTACATTGTACTTATATATATATATATATTTTAAACACATAATATAATATAGACATGACCTACAGTCATGCTATACATTTGTGGAATTTATTTGAAAATATATATGGGGTTTATTATTAAAATAAAATATAAAATTGGAAATGAACATTGTGTTTAGTTTACCCATATTGTCTGCCCTTCGGTGCAGCTGATTCCTGAAACAGATGGACACCAAACACACGCTTATTACATGCACATATTTATTATATTTACTTCACGAGTGTTATTCTATACCTCTCTGTTGATCTGAAAACATACCGTAGAGCTGTCATCGTGTGGAGAAAGGCACGGCACGGACACAGTTAATGCAGGGAGAGCAGAGAGGCTGTCGGTAGCATAATGGCAGAAAGGCTGTCCATCCATAAATGTGTCCCCCTCTGGGTTCTGTCTTTCAGCCTACAGATTTAACATAATGCCATCTGAGCCTGTCATTCAACTTCCCTACCACCAGAGGACACAGTATTTTGATACATGATTACTTCTAGATTACTTATTTACCAGTTATTTGCTGCAATGTCATGGTGAATTATGACAATTAATGAAAACACAAACTCTACAAGACGGGAACTGATCTTTCCAAATATATATTTATTTACACTTAAGTATTGTGTTATTTTTAAAAACTCATTTTATTATTACCAGTATCTCTTAAGGAAATAGTTCATCCACCAGTTAGTATTTCATACATCTTTTACTCATATATAATCTTCCATATATTGGTAATAATTCAAAATTCTATTCTTCATCTTTTCAGAACACTTTATAGCAAGTTAGTGAAACATGCAAACATATTTTACATATACAACATCAAAAAAGGAAAGAAAGAAAGAAAGAAAAAAAGTCAAGTACTTTCAAAAGTCACAACAGTATAATAATATAAAAACAAGCAAAGAAATACATGGGAGGCAACAAGTGACTAAAACAATGTTTGTCACAGGAAATGTAAAAAACGAAAACAAATGAGCCTAAATACATTCAGTCAATCATGCAATCTGTATTTATCTGTATTATGTAAATGTGTAATCTTCTGGAGAAGTGCAACACAAGAGTATGTGTAGTGTATCTAATGCATTAAGTCAAGTGTTTTATTTAAAAACATATTTTGGGGCTAGAAACAATGTAGGCAGTAGAACTTAAGAGATTCTACATAAAAAGTCCACATTAATGGATCCAACTCTTTTGTTGTTTTGAACTATTTTGTGTAAACTCCAAAGTCCAGCTCCCAGTGATATCCAAGGCAAACTTCAAGGTAGCCCTAGCCTCTAGTGTCTTCATGCAAATGGCGGATGCAATGGAAGAAGGAAACCCTCAGTAAGGATCTAAAAACATTAAAAATATACTATGAAGCAACAAAATGACAAAAAAACGCAACAAAATAGGTGAATGAAGGGAAACTAAAATATACTTGGTACAATGCAAAAACAAACCCTCATAAAGAGGTAGTGAATGTGAACGTATAATAAACTACCTGGATGTCTAAGGATGTGGGCTGCTGATGAGCATCATTTATCTTGTGATCCAAGACCAAATGTGTGGCATCATCAAGTCCATATCTAGTAACTGATGATCTCTGTGGGGGGGAAAACATGACAAAACACAAACTATAAATGCACAAGCACAACTATTGTATGGCTGAATGCTGTCAATAAATCCTTAGGAAAAGCAAACATAAGCAGCTGCTCAAGATAGCAGAAACATCATCTATCTGTTTAAAAAAGCACTGTGACAGAACAGAGTAAGAAAGGCTTTGAGACAAATAAAATCAGCGTGGTCATTACGAGGCGGCTGCAATAAATGTAAATTTAGTTCAACTTACAATACATTTCATCCAGATCTGTCCAGATGTTATGAGTGAGGAATGGATCAGACACCTGAGACATCTGAAATCTTCATTGGATAACACATCAGTGGAGGACTGACATGAATCTGGGCCTTGAGGACTCATTAACTGTCAGTCAGGAGTAATGAGTTCTTTTGCAAAGGACTTTGGAGAGGGACTGGATCCAGTAAATGAAAAATAGGCTTTCATAACAGAAAGCTCCAGTTTTAGGGGACATAAATATTGCCTTTTGCACAAGTTGATTGCTCCTCCTTTAGTGTTTATGCATAGGTATAGTGTTTTGTTTTTACATTCCATGAAACAAGCTGCAACTTTTATTTGCTCTCATATATCTCTTTTAAATCTATACAAATATGTAAAAATAACCACACTCTTTGTTAATCTAATTTCTTTTTTGTAAAACTTGGTATATTTTCTGGTACATTATCCATAAACCGAAGTATTAAAAGAATTTTCTAAAATAATAAGTAGAAATAGACTCAATGTAAGCAATATTAAATACGGTCTAATCTGAGTTGGATTTTTTTTTAAATCTCCAAAATGCTGAAAGTATCTTGCAGTATGTTAACATCTCCTGAATTTAGATGCTGTATTTAAGTATAAAATAAGAAAATAAAAATACCGCTTTCAAAATACATAAGATATCTGTATAAACTGAAATAGACCTAAATGAAATAACTTGAACTATGAATAAAGCTAACCAGGTAATTAATAGTTCGTAAGCATCCAAACTACATAAAATGGAAACTTAACCATTGCCAGAAAAAAAAATGATACTGGTAGTTTTTGGAATGCATTTTCCTATTCCAAACACATGCAAAGCGGAAAAAAGTCATTCTTTTTTGTCTAATTAATTTCTGTGTATTATGTAACTGTAGTGTATAGAGTCAGCATTGATATGAAAGCTGCAGGACCACGTGGGGTCCAGCTTTAAAATCTGCGGTTGTAATTGGAGGAAGTATATGATGATGATGAGAAGTTCAAGCTGAATCCAGAGCCAGTAGCATCAATGCTGCCTCTTCTTGAACCTGACCTAGAGCCTGTTCTGGACCCAGTCCGAGATCCAGAGGCAGATGCAGCACCACTGACATTGTAGGGACTGTAGAGGCCTTTACTGGATGTTGATGAAGCTTCCAGAAGCCTAAGGCCAGATCCCTCTTCAACCATGCTTCTGTCCATGGCATCTTTGTAGGAGATCTTCAGTTTGGTTTTGGGACATGTAAGATATTTTGTGTAACCACTCACATCTCTGAGCTTTTGGGCTGTACGACCATCAATAGAACCTTTCCTGATTGCCTCCTCTAAGGAGATACGTGCCTCAGCCTCTGGCTCAATAAGGCCACCGGTAAGATACTGCACCTCCAGGAAACGCTGTCCTGCCTCATAATAAAGCCAGCCTTTCTTGAGAGCCTGAGCAGCAGACATTTTGACTTTAGTGCGAGGATCGTCAAATCCATGGAAAGCTTTCTGGGCTAAGTTGAGTCTGTCGACCATTATCTTATCTATAAGACCCTTCTCTGTCGCCTCAGCAACTGGGAATTTGTCTCCTGTAGATGGGTCTATTATGCCACCAGTACAAGCTTGTGCCTCCAACAGTCTCTGGCCAGTTATAGAATCCACTAAGTTCCTGCGCATGGCTTCAGTGACTGAAACTTTTTCTAGGCTATCTGTATCAAGTATTCCAGCCACAGGACCTGTCTCCTCAGATGGATCATTCCATACAGTTGCAGGAGTTTTGATGGTAGGTACGGGGCTCATTGGATAAGAGGAGGTGGATCCAAAGGAAGAGGAACGGGAACGAAAACCACTCATGTTTCCAGATAACATATCAGCAAATTCTGTGATAGAAAGGGTGCCGGAGCGGTACTGGTCGATTGCACTCTGGTCAATGAGGCCTCTTGCAATAGCGTCCTCAATGTCATACTGTCGACCTGATCTTCGGTCAATGAGTATAGACTTTTCAACCCCTTCTGATGATGTCATTGTGATTTCTTCCCATTCACACTCTTGCTCTGAAAGTTCAAGGTAAGTCTGATGGTCAATTAGCCCTTTGCGGTAGGCTTCATACACAGACATCTCTTTGCCTGAATCGGGATCCACAATGACAACTCTGCGTTTGCGAACGGAGGATTTGGTAGAAGACGGTTTCTCGCGTTTCTTTTCTTTAAGAAGCAAGAGCACAAGACCTGTGTCTGGGTCTACAATACATCTTTCCATCAGCTGCAGGTAGGTCAGATTCTCTTCTGTGTTCGGGTCAAAGAAGCCCTTGGTGTCATCCGTTGGGTCACTGAGGATCTCGTTCATTTCCTCATCGAAAAACCCTCGGTTGTAGGCAACTTCGACTGGCAAGCGGTGACTCTGCTCTGGGTCAATAATACCTCCAGTAGCAATCTGGGCTTCAAGAAGACGAATTCCATGGTCTCTCAAAATCAGGCCCTTTTTCATTGCCTGGAACAGTGAGATCATTTTGCCTGTATAAGGATCTCTATAGCCAGTCACAGCCCTCTCAGCAGACAGGAGCTTGTCTTTGAACTCTGGGCCGACAATTCCCATCTTAATTGATTCATTTACTGTTAACTTGAGGTTCTTGATAGGGTCAATGATATAACCTGTGGCTGCTTGTGCTTCCAGCAACTCAAAAGCAGTACCTGGCCTGATCATGTTCTTTTTCATGGCTTGGTAGATAGATAGACGGTCTTTAGTAGACTCCACATGCACGCCAGCAATACAGCTTGAGCCCTGAAGATATTTCCGCAATCTATTGCTCACCTCATCCACTGTTAGTAGCCCTTCATTAAGTTCGCTGACTGTTTGTTCATCAATGATTTTTGAGCGATATAACTCCTCTATTGTTATTTCTTTTCTGAGACCTTTGAAGAGCAGCCTTCTGTCTGCTAGAGACAACAGATATAGCCCATCTTTGTCAACCTTGCATCTTTTCAAAAGCTGAGCATATGAAAGCTTTTCATCAGTCAATGGATCAACGTATCCTTTAACCTCATCGGACAGCTTTTCATAAGTCTCTTTGTTAATATATCCACGTTGTGTGGCAATCTCTGTTGGCAGGTGGAAGTTATATTCTGGATCAATAATACCACCTGTTGCTGTTTGAGCTTCAAGTAGCCTTAGGGCATAGTCCTCGGACACAAGGTCCTTTTTCATTGCTTGGAAGAGGGAGACAACCTTTCCACTATATGGATCCTTATAACCAGTTACTGCTCTCTCTGCAGACAAGAGCTTATCATGAATTTCTGGGCCCACTACACCTTTGCGGACTGCTTCATCTACAGTGAGCATTTCATTCCTAACAGGATCAATGATGAATCCAGTGGCTGCTTGAGCCTCCAAGAGACCAATTGCAATGTCTGGCTTAATCATCTCTCTCTTCATTGCTTGATAAATGCTGATTTTGGCATTTGAATCAGTCACCACACCAGAAACGCTACCAGTTCCATACAAGTACTGCTTAACACTTTGCATCTCCATGACATCACGCATAGTCTTTTTCTCTTTCTTCAACAGGTTGTAGGTCTCAAGGTCAATGATGCGGGCATTGTAGAGATCTTCAATAGTAATTTGACGTCTTCTTGTGCTGCCTGTTTGGATGTTCCCCCCTTTAATTATTTCTCTCTGCTCCAGAATCTCAATTATAATGATTATCATCCGTTCCTTTGTTATGTTGCCAGAACGATATTCTTCCAGAAGCTGAGACCTTTGCTCCTCAGGTAGTAGATTTGAATTCATGACATCCCAGAGAGACATTGAGCCCTGACCTTCAATGGGTAGATCAACCTGGGTAGTGGTTAGATCACTCTGAGTTTGTTCTTCACTGTAAAGGTATGTCTTCTCCACAACTGTTGGGGCCTGTGGTTTGGAGAGCTTTAGTAGATTTAAACCTGTGTCAGGATCTGCCATACACTTGTCTTTTAACTGTTTGTATGATATGTTCTCATCAGATGCAGGGTCAGAGAAGTACTTGCTTTCAGCAATGCTGCTGGCCAGCTGTTGGGTAACATAGCCACGGTGAATAGCAATTTCAACAGGAATACGATGACTGTTTACTGGATCAATAACTCCACCTGCGGCCAACTGTGCCTCCAAGAGTGGCATGGCATGTTCTTTGAGGATAAGATCTTTCTCCATGGCTTGATACAGGGAGATTTTATTGCCAGTGAATGGGTCTTTATATCCAGTGACAGCTTTTTCAGCAGAGAGAAGTTTCTCATGAAGCTCCGGACCAACAAGGCCTGCTTTAACTGCATCATCCACAGTAAGACATTCATTTCTTGATGGATCCACAATGAATCCTGTAGCAGCTTGAGCTTCAAGCAAAGCGATACCTGTTTTTTGTCTGAGGAATTTCTTTCTCATTGCTTGGTAGATGCTGACTTTCTCTTTTGTAGGCTCAAGGTAAACTCCAGCAATGCTCTCAGAGCCTTGGAGATACTTGTTGACTGAAGTGTTTTTGCTGACCTCTTTTGGAGTCTTTTTACCTTGTTCCAGCAAATCATAGGTAGACTTGTCAATGATTTTGGAGTCAAATAATGACTTGGCAGGAACTGGTGCCCTTAGTCCCTTAAAGTAGCCCTCTTCTTGTTTCTTGGCATCTTTCTCAGTGACAATTACAATTAAAATCTTTGTAATTTTCTCAATTGTCATTTTCCCAGATCTGTATTGCCTTATTAAGTCAAGTCTTTGCTCCTCAGTGAGATAATCCGAGTTAATGAGCTCCCATATGGTAACTTTTCTCCCTTTTAAATGTCCACTCTGAACTTCAACAGTTGCCTGAGTCATTGAGTCTTTGGTCTGGTCATCAGTATATTTCAACTCCTCCTTGGCATTGATGGCTTGCTCAGACAAAGGAAGAAGCTGAAGGCCAGTCTTTTTGTCAGTGACACATCTTTTATAAAGCTGCAGATAAGTGACATATTCCTGAGTGTTTGGGTCAAAATATCCTTTAACGTCATCAGTTGGGCTGGTCAAAATCTTGTGGGTTGCATCATCAAAACTGCCCTTCATGCAGGCAATGTCATGCGGAATACGGTGACTTTGAACAGGATCAACGATGCCTCCAGTAGCCAGTTGTGCGTCAAGCAGCCGAAATCCCTGGTCCTTCATGATCAGATCTTTCTTCATAGCCTCAAACAGAGAAATTGTTTTTCCAGTGTAAGGATCTTTGAAGCCTGTGACAGCTCTCTCTGCAGACAGTAGTTTTTCATGAAGCTCTGGACCGACAACACCTGCTTTTACAGCCTCATCTACTGTAAGTTTTTGGTTTTTAATAGGATCTACGACATATCCTGTAGCAGCTTGTGCTTCCAAGAGATTAAGAGCAGGCCCAGGTCTCATCATGTCTCTTTTCATCGCATCATATAAGGACATTGTTTGTTTGGTTGAGTCAATAATTACTCCTGCAATGCAGTTAGTGCCTTTCAAAGCATTGCGCACATGCTCCATCTCAGACACATCTTTTACCAGCAGTTGTCCTTTCTGCAATTTGTTATAGAGGTCTTTGTCAATAACCTTGGATTCAAGAAGTTTTGTAGCAGGTACAGGTGCTCTCAGGCCTTCGAAGGCAAGCTCATTCTTTTTCTCTTTTTCCTCTGCCACAGTTAGAACAATTTTGATGATCTTTTCAACTGTAATTTTTCCAGTTTTGTATTGACGGATAAGATCTTTTTTCTGATCCTCGGTGAAGTACTCTGAGTTTATAATTTCCCAGATGGTCACAGTCTTTCCTTTAAACCTTCCAAATGGCACAGACACAGTTGTCTTGTCAAAGACATCCCTTGTTTCTTCATCTGTGAATATTCTGGCATTTAGAGCAGCCTCCTCAGAGATGGGCAAAAGAAGCAGTCCTGTTTCTGGATCAGTGACACACCTTACTATTAGCTGGTGGTAGGTCAGATTTTCTTGGGTGTTTGGATCATAGAATCCCTTGACATCATCTGTTGGATTTTGTAGAATTTTATTGGTGGCTGCATCGAACTGACCCTGCTTATAGGCCAGTTCAGTTGGCACACGATGACTGTTGACTGGATCAATAATGCCACCTGTTGCTATCTGAGCCTCAAGCAATCTGATGGCATGATCCTCCCCAATGAGACCCTTCTTCATAGCTTCAAAGAGGGAGATCTTTGCCTCTGTGTATGGATCCTTGTAACCAGTGACAGCTCTCTCTGCAGACAGCATCTTGTTATGAAGTTCAGGTCCAATTAGACCCTCTTTAACTGCCTCATTGACAGAGAGTTTCTTGTTTTTAATTGGGTCAATTATGTATCCAGAAGCGGCCTGTGCCTCCAGCAGGACTAGCCCTGTCCCAGGAGCAATCTTCTTCTCCTTGATGGCTTGATAGATGGGCATTTTTTTATTTGGATGAACAAGGAGGCCACCAATGCAGTTCTTGCCCTTAAGAACTGTTTTAAGTTTTTCTGTCTTGCTGAGTTCTTGGCTTGTGGTGTCACCACTCTGGAGCTTATCATAATCCATTTTGCTTAAAAGTCCTATGTCAAAAAGTCTACTTGCAGGTACTTTCTCACGGATGCCATCGAATGATAATGCAGAGAAACCATTTGGGCCGTCAGCTTCATCAGAAATACTTTGACCATTGAGGACTTTTTTGTATTCGGTCTGGATGTGAATGTCCTGGGTGAGTTTCTGAGCAACCTCAAGCTGCTGAAGTTTCTCGCGCAGTTGCTGGTTTTCCTCAGCAAGCATTCTTTCTTGTTCAAGCTTTTTCCTCTCAAGTTCTTGCATCTCTTTCTGCTTGTTGAGCATCTCTTTTTCAGCTGCTTTCTGTTTCATCAGAGCAGAATCCATAGTGGCCTTAAGTTTCATCTTTTCATCCTCCATTTGTTTTCTTTGACGTTCCTGTTCATCTTTCAGGGCTTGTGACTTTTTGACCTCTTCTTCAAATTGGCTCTCTAACCTCTTCTTTTCATCCTCAATTTGTTTTTCCTTCTTCAAAAGCATCTCCTTTTCTGACATAAATGTCTGCTGAAGAATAGTTTTCTCCTGTTTAATTTGTTCTTGCTGAGCATTCGCCATCTGTAAAAGAAGAAACAATGAACAACGTTAAAACAATGCTGAAAAACATTTCGGACAAATAATTTTCAATGATGTAAATGTCAATTTTAAGATTAATGAGAAAGCATTATGGATTATAATTAAATAAAGGAACATATTTGTAAAAAAAAAAGCAATGTTAGTTTTTAGAAAGAGGGTTAACAATGACATAAGCTGCAATTTATGCCATCTTTAACACAATACCTCTTTGGACTTTTTCTGTAACTCTTCAGCCTCTTTTTTCAATTTTGCCTTCTCATTCTCAAGATCAGCAATGGCTTTGCGCAAGTCATCTGCTTCTTTGTTACTGCTCAATCTCTGTATTTCCAATTTTTCAACAACAGTCAATTTCTCTTTGGTGGAAAGCTCGGTCTCATGAAGTCGGGCACTAATCTCATCTGCCTGCATCTTGAATTTCTTGGCTTCCTTCTCAGCTCTAGTCTGTGCATCACTGAGCTGTGAAACTTGAAGTCTAAGTTTCTCTGCCTCAGCTGTAATCTCCAACTGTCTCCTGCGTTCAGCCTCCAATGATTTTTGGAAGCCCTCAGTTTCCTCCTCAAGCCGTTGCTGCATCATTTGTTTGTCTTCAAGCAGCTTTTGGGCTTGCTCTTGAGCAAGGTCTTTCTGTCTCTGTAGCATTTCTGCCTCAGCTCTAAGTTTAGACGCCTCCTGAATGGCTTGCATCTTTTCCTTAAGCATTTTTTCAGCAAGTGCTCTTTGCTCTGCAAGGTCAGTCTCTGCAATATGTCTCATGCGAGCAGCCTCCTGGGACTCAATGCTGAGCCTGGCAGCCTCCTCAGCAAGTTTTTTCATGTTCTCAGCCTCCTCAGCCAAGAATGTTTGAGTATTATCTTTGTCCTTCTGGATGAGACGCTGATTCTCCTCTTCAATTCTGAGCTTAAGTTTGATTAGCTCTTCCATTTGAATCTTGACTTTGAACAGTTCCTCCTCTACCTGGGCTTTCTGTTTAACAGCGTCACCAACCTCGTCCTTCAGGCGATGAAGCTCATCATCCAGGAGAGTCTTTTGTTTGTCTGTCTCATCCAACCGCAGTTTCACTTTAGTGAGCTCTTGCTCAACCTGAGATTTCTGCTTAAGTGTCTGCTCTGCATGTTTCTTGTGCCTAGCCATCTCTTCATCAGCTAGCTGTTTTTGTTTCAGCGCTGCTGTCTCAGCCTGGGCTCGCTTTTCTGCCTCTAGCTCTGCCTCTTTTCTGAGCCTCTCAGCCTCTTCTTGGGCTTTGGCCTGATTGTTTGCCTCAACCTCGGCAGCCTGACGCTGACGCTCTGCATCTTCAGCTTGATGGCGGAGGAGGGCAGCCTCTTTCTCTGCCTTTTGTTTGGCCTTTTCTGCTTCTTGGGCAAGCTTTTTAGCTTTCTCAAACTCCTCCTTGAGCCTTTTATGTACCATGCTGTCCTCTTTCTGTTGAACAAGAACGCTTTGAACTTGCTGTTCAGCTGTAATTGCTTTCTCAGCAGCCTCGTTGGCAGCATGTATTTGCCTCTCAGCTTCTTTATCAGCATCTTCCCTCTGCTTTCTGGCCTCATCTGCTTTCTTTTTGAGACGCTCCACTTCTTCTTGGGCAACTTGGCGCTGTCGACCTGCCTCCTGTTCTGCGGCAGTAATCTTTTTCAGTTTTTCTTCAGCCTCCCTTCTTCTGTTTTCTTCTTCAAGGGCAAGCTTACGTAGCTTCTCGGCTTCCTCCTCAGCTCGTAGTTTGCTTTGGTGTGTTTCCTCAGCAATATTCTTCAGCTTATTCAGTTCAAGCTCCAAATCAAGCTTGCCAGATGAAGCCTTCTCAAAATTAAGTTTCAAGATACGTATCTCCTCTTCAACTATTCTTTTCTGTTTAAGAGTGTCATCCACAATTGATTTTTGTCTTTCTAATTCCATTTCAGAGGATTTCTTGAGCTGGTCGATCTTCTGCTCAATGTCTTGCTTGTGCTGGCTTGCCTGATCTTCAAGAGCCTTTCTCTGGTAAGCCTCAACCTCAGCATTCCTTCTCAAGCGTTCATTTTCAGCCTCCTTTTCTTTAAGAGCTATCTCTGCTTCAGTCTTCAAGCGAGTGGCCTCATTAATGGCAGTGAGTTTTTCTTTGAGAATTCTCTCTGCTTCTGCTCTCTGCCTTGCAGCTTCCTCCTCAGCCACTTGCCTCTGCCTCTTTGCCTCTTCAGCAATGGCACGGAGCTTGGCTGCTTCATCTGCAAGATCCCTCAGTTTAGCAGCTTCAGCTTCCAAGAGTTGTTTACTCTTTTCAGTGGTAGACATGCTATCCTTTTCAGCCTTAGATTTCAGCAGCAAAAGAATGTCCATTTCACTTCGAACTTTGGAAAGCTCATCTTCAAGCTGCTTCCGCTGCTGCTCTGCAGCACTGACCTCATTCTTAAGACGGTACAGTTCATCATCAAGCAGAGATCTCTGTTGCTCGGCATGATCAAAATCAGCTTTCAAGCGGATCAGCTCATGCTCTGCTGAAAGCTTCTGTTGTGCTGTGCTCTCTGCCATCTTCCTCTGCCGCTCAAGTTCTTGCTCAGCCATGTCTTTCTGTTTCAGGGCAGACTCTTCAGCTTTGGCCCGTTTTTTGGCCTCGCGCTCAGCATCATCTTTCTGTTTTTCGGCCTCTTCCTGTGCAAGACTCTTTTTGTGGGCCTCTTCCTCTGCCTGGAGCCTTAGACGAAGGGCTTCATTGGCTTTTTGCCTCCATTTTTCAAGCTCGCACTCAGCCTCTTCCCTTCCCTTGTCTGCCTCTTCCTGTTGCTTTTTGAGGCGTTCTGCCTCCTCCTGCAGTTGAATGACAGTTCCGTGCTTTTCTCGGAGTGACTCCTCGAGTTTGGATGTCTTCTCGACAAAGGACATGCGCTTACTCTGCAGCTCAGCAGTGGCACTTTTCTGAGCTACCTCTTGAGCGACCTTGATTTGTCGTTCTTTCTCAATCTCAGCCTGCTTCATGTGTCTCTCTGCCTCCTCAGCCTGCATCTTGAACTTCTCAAGGTCATCCAGGGCTTTCTGCTTCTGCCTGGCAGCCTCTTTCTCTGCTTCAGACTTAAGCTTCAACTCTTCCTCCGCCATCCGCTTCTTCTGGGTCTCCTCATTAACTTGCTTACGAAGTTTCTCAGCCTCCTCCTGAGCAACTTTGCGAAGTCTCTCCGCCTCTGCAGCCTTGTCTCTAAGCTGCCTCACCTCGTCCTCTGCAGTGGACTTCTGCTTTACTGTAGTTTCCAACTGAAGTCTTATGATGTGGATCTCTTGCTCTATTTTGGACCGGCTTTGCAGAGCCTCCTCCACTTGTTGACTTTTTGATTTGATCTGTTGTTCGGAGAGGTTTTTGAGCTCATGCAGCTCCAGCTGGATGTTCTGCTTTTGCCTTTCAGCATCCACAGCAACAATCTCTCGTTTGCTAACCTCCTCTTGCATCATGAGCTTGAGCTCCTGTGCCTCTTTCTCCGCTTTGGCAATGGCCTTGGCATGAGCTTCAGCTAGCTGCTTCTGTTTCTCTAACTCTGCCTGCATCTCAGCCATTTTTTTCCTCTCTTCTGCTTTAAGTTTCTCAGCAGCTTTCTGTATTAGTGGAAGTAAATGGTAAAGAAAATTATGATCAGGATCAAGCATGGCAGGGTGTTAAAAGATTTAGTTTACCAAAAAAATGAAAATGCTGTCATCATTTATTAGCTCTGTCATTCCAAACCTGTGTGACTTTCTATTATATTATTATTACATTATTACTTTCCTCCGTGGAACACAAAAGGTGATTTTTTTTGAGAATATCTTTTCAAGCCACTCTTTTCAACATAATGAAAACTAGAGAAGTCAAGCTCCAAAATGACGAAAAAGCACCATGAAAGTATCATAAAAGTGGCCCATGTGACTTGCATTATATTCTAAGTCTTCTGAAGCTATTACATACGTACATCTTCAGAAAACTCGGAAAACAGCACAGAAGTTGTATGGACGACTGTCATCGTGCTTCGTCACTTTTGAAGTTTGAAAGCTTCAAATACCATTCTTTGAAATTGCATGGCTAAAAAAAAAAAAACTATCATTATCGAAAAGCCTCCTTTTTGTCCCATGGAAGCAAGAAAGACGTGGTTTGCAATAACATGAGGGTGAGCAAATGATGACAGAATTTTTCATTATTTCAGTGAACTAATTCTTTTAGTGTTAAGGTTTTTGTTTAGCTCAAAGGAAAACAGGTTTAGATGCAAACATGACAAATGGGGTTAAAAAAAAAGAAGTCAATTATGATATAATTAATGTATGGAGACACAAGACATTGCTTTAAAACACTACACTCTCATGACATGCTATGGTAGCACTCTGAAAACTATTTACTGCATTCCAGTTAAACAAAGTGATTCCAGAAAAAACTGTCTAATAGTATGCAATCAATATGCTGTTGTTATAAACTAGATGACTGGATGAAAACTGAGCACACAATTAATACAGCTTTAAGAGTGTTAACAAAAAATGTTCTAAAGATATATCATCATTAAGGTATCTTGATTTGGTGGCCAGACCAAATGGTGAGATGAACAGAACAACTAAATACCAATAGTGCAAGCAAGTACTCCACCGTTAGCAATGGAAAGTAAGTTGTAGATGTTAAAAGCAATGATTCAGGCAGACAAGCAGGTTCAGATCCACAGATAAAGAGCAGAGGTTAGTAATAAAAGAAAAACATTTTAAATTACTTTGAAAAATAAAAAAAGGGCAGTAGGAATCTGATTCTCGAATAAATTTACTTACACTGACTCTAAGAGGATAGCAATAGCTAAGAGAATATACAGTAGTCAACATTTGAAGTGGATCAAAAAAGTTCATCAAAGTTGTCCTAAGGCAAGACCGGGTATTGTTCAAAATTCATAACTTTGATGAAAGGTTTTGATCCACTTCAAATGTTGACTACTGTAGCTATGAGAATCAGAAAACTACAATGAACAAAAGTACAATAACATTTACAGAGAAAGGCTAAATCATATAAGCTTGATGGGAGGAAATTCAGAATATTCATGAAGAGGGATATTGGAATATGGGTATGAAATTACTAGAGCGTAGTGAAAAGTTTTACCTCTTTAGAGCCCAAAAAAGTTCAAGCAATCATCAAGACAAAGCACTGGCAAGCAGTTAGGAAAAGCAAAGAAACCAAAGGTTAGGGTTTGAAAGACATACAGTAGTGAGAGAAGAGAAAAGCATATAGGAAAAGTCAGCCTCATACAACTTGCTTTCCCTAGTGTGTATCAGACACTGTCTGACGTTCAAATATAACATATTCTGCTCTGTTCAAATATGTAAAAATACCTAAACAGCTGCTGGTAATTGTTGGAGCTTTATATAAATTTTTTTTTTTTTAAAGTATCTGCAAATTAATCAAGCTTTTCTAACTTTTTGTAAGAGAAATGTGTATAGACAATGTCCTTGACAGGTAATGTGATTCTTAATGCTTGTTTTTTTTAGCAAGACTTATTCTACCTGTAACTTACTTCTGTTTGTCACATACAGCTTTTGTTTCCAAAATGACAGAATAAATGTCGAGTCACCCATACATTAAGTATATCTAGATGATTTTTTAATGAGTGGTTGGTTGAGTTGGTTAATATTAGTGTGTTGAGTTAGTCTGGTGTGAATAGGGTCCCTTGGTGTCACGCACCTCCTCGTCCTCCAAGCGCCGCTGCGAGTCTGTGATGAACTTGATGTACTGACTGGTCAGCGTCATCAGTTCACTATAGCGAGTTCTCAGAGTTACATACTATGATGAAAAAGATAAAGCATTTTGATCATTCAGATGATAACATAATTGCGCATTTAAAATGATAAAACACCATAGGAATCTATGCAAACATAGTAATCAGATAATACAAATGTATGAATTAGAATAGAGATGGACCGATTGATCGGCTGGTGACCGGAATCGGCCGATTTTCACGTGATCGGCCATGATCGGCGACCGGCCGGTCAGTCTGACATAATCCGATTTATGCCGGTCAAATGCACTCTGGCGCCGCATGATTAACATCGGCAACATCAGCATCACACGTGCACACGGAACACACATGTAGGAAACCTCGTGAATTACGACCGTTTCACACCGCAAGCGTGAGCAGCGGGGTTTTTTTTTTTTTCGGCGTGCATGTTAATCAATGAGTGCATTCACACCGGGAGCCGGAGCAGCGCGTGAGCGTCGAGCAGGAGCGTCGCGTGAGCAACAGTGAAGCGCGGGTTTCAGCGCCGAGTCTATTCTGCTCGCGCTCAATTAAAGTGAAAGCATACTTTTGATGGACAAAATAAATATGATTTCACTCCAAAAGTGCCCAAAATGCACAGAATTTGCACATCTGGTGTGTTTTAACAAGAACTGAAGTAGCCAGGCTATGTCAGAAAAGAAAATTAAGACTAAAAAATATTTATAGAAAATAACTTTTTTATTCCCAATCGTTTCCCTGCACATGCTCCACTTGTCCTGTTTAGCCTGGCTGGACATGTGTCAGAGAGAAAAACTGTTTGAGAAATATAACTTGCCATTGATGTACAAGTGATTGCAATAGGCCTGTCTGTGTGTGTGTGTGTGTGTGTGTGTGTGTGTGTGTGTGTGTGTGTGTGTGTGTGTGTGTGTTGAGAAATATATACTGCAAGGGTAGGCTATATTTATTTTATTTTTATTTGTTATTTATATATTATTTTATTGCCATTACCTGTTTTCATACAAAAGTTTAGTTTGCTAAATATATCAAATTGTTTTAGTTGGATATTGGATTTGAAAAGGAAATGGTTCTTCCATAACACTGCACTTTATATGTGTGTGAATTTCCCACACCAGGAGTAATTTATATAGTCCTATTTTATAGCGATTATCTGTTAAAAAAAATTTCTATGCAAAATGTTATATTAAAGAGAAGATAGAAAGTAAATATTTGTGTGTGCTGTAAAGTGGTTTAAAAAAAGGAAATCGGAATCGGCTAAAATCGGTATCGGCAGGTCAAACTCAAGAAAAATCGGAAATCGGAATCGGCCTAGAAAATTGTAATCGGTGCATCTCTAGAATGAACTGATCTATGAGCGTTTTCCAACCTCTTGAATTATGTTATCAGAGGCTGACTCCATCTTGGTTTTCTTCAAAGGAGAAGTCAGAGGTTCTACCTGAGCTTTGTAGGCAACCAATTGTAGTTCATAATCCTGAAAAAAAAAAGATTGTAGCATTCCAACAACAAAAACAAAAATCTATCATTTTCAGCATCATTACCCTTCAGTGTCACATGATCCTTCAGAAATCATTCTAATATGCTGATTTGCATAACATTTCCTTTTGTGTGTTGAAAACAGTTGCTGCTTCATATTTTTGTGGAAACAGTGATACAGTATAATGGAATGATTTCTGAAGGATGCTGATGAGGAGTAATGATGCTGTAATTTCAGCTTTGATCACAAGAATAAATTACATTTTAAAATATATTCAAATAGAAAACTGTAATGATATTTCACAATCGTTTTTCCTGCATTCAAAGAAATGCAGCCTTTGTAAGCACAAGATACGTCTTCTTGTACATACACATGTCTCTATAATTCTCTCTTACCTTGATTGTATCAATGTAAGCTTTGGCATATTTCTGACACTCATCAACTTTCTCTTTGTTTTTCTCAATCTCTTCAAGCAGTTTCTGTGAGGGGAAAAAGTCAGCATATTATACTTCTACCTTTTAAATAGGCTAACAAAATAGCTATTAGAGAAATGTATTTGTTGCAATGTGTATCGGAGAACTAATGCACAGAAATTAATATTCCGGCAGCTTCTCTTCTGAGATTTTTTCACAAATTATTGAACTTGTTCCATTTTTCACACTACTGAAATTGTGTTCAAATTTCAAGATGCCACACTGTACATGTGTAAACACTGCGTCATTTGCATATTTATGAGGTAAATGCAAAAGAGCATGTGACCTATTTCAATACCTGCTTGTCCATCTGAGGAAATGTTGACACTTAGGCTAACTCTGAAACATACTACAGAAATATACCTCAATAAATGCATTTGATGTCACTGGCCATTGCTATTTTTAGTTTCACTTAGACATTGAAACTAAACATAGCAGATGTTTATGATGTGACTGCAACTGTACAAAGCAAATCGATATCTAATGAAGTAAGGTGAGGCTGGTAATGATTTTTTTTTTTTTAAAGACACAGTACTGTATGTAAATTTCGCAGACAGAGGTCACTTATTCAAAACTATAGTGAAGCGAATGCTAATGAGAGACACTGGTCTGGAGTCTCATGGAGGAGCTTCGGAAGGATATAAGAAAGAGTGACTACAGTGAAGAACGAGAGAGGACCTGGGACAATTTAAAGTTACATTGAACGTCCGCCTCCTTTTCCCCTGAACTTTAACTTTGTTACACTTACGTTTTATCACTTAAATAATCATATAATACTAAAAATACATTTGAGTGTGTTGAAAGTTATGTTATAACGTTACTCTGCGCGTTCGCTCAGCGGATGCTATGAGACACTTGCTGCACACTGCAGTGAACTAGATCGATATTAGAATATCAATAATTAATAAATACTGGATGACTTGTGTAGCTAAATGGCATGCAATTCAATGTAAACCATTGTATGGTGGAGAAAATGCCGCATTACTGTAACTACAAATAAAGCTCTTTCTGATTATGATATGTAAGTTACAAAATAGTGTTGTCTGATTTAGTTTTTGGGTACAAACATGTTACTCGCGGTAAATAGAGAAAACAAGAGGTTCAAACAATAAGACTTACAGTGTTGAGCTATATAGCAATGATCAGTTTTCTGTCGATAAATGCATCTAAAACAGTCGCTTACCTGTCTAATAAAACACATAATATATTAAAGTGTCTTTGAGGTTTCCACGGTTTCTACGGAAGTAAGACCAGAAATCGAGGGTAACGTGGATATGACGTCATTGACAGGCGGTGCAATGACACGGGACGTTACGCTGATTAAAATAGCGGATTTCTCTGGATTTAAACATTTGAACATTTGGGATAATGCAAGTACACAAGTCAGCAAAATATATACCGCTGTTCTAGTGGTTTTTGGATATTTTAATCCCAAAATCGTACATATTGTGCCTTTTTTTAATACTGTATACCACAAACTGTGATAACCCACTATAAAACTCAAACGAGTGTGAAGCATTGCTTAACCCAGTGTTAAATCTGGCTGTTACTCGAGGTTTAAAGAGCAGCTTGAAAGGCCCTTTACAGAAAGCTTGTGTCATTCAGTACCTTCTCCTGTGCCAGTTGCTCTTTTAGTGTCTTGCTGTCAGTAATCGGCACGGCCTGGATCTTCTCCTGCCGCTGTTTGGCGTCTGCGATCCAGCGGATGAGCCAGTCGTAGCTCTCCCTGTAGTAGCCCTGCTGCCGGCCGAGCTGTTCCAGCTCGCGATGCCGCAGGTCGATCTGGGCGAAGACGGCGCGCCAGCGGTCCTGAAGGCTGCCCAGGAGCTGTCTGTAGTGGTCCAGCTCAGCGTCCCGTTCGGTGTGAATCCGAGACATGTTCTGGCTGACCGATGTGGCCTTGGCCAGCTCACCCTCCATATCATCAAACACGGGCCGCTGGGTTTCTGCCTCCACACGCATTTTCTGAACATACAAGAACAAGTTGACTTAATCCCAAAATAAAATTAACGTAACTACATTGTACATACAGTATATAAGCTTTTTCATGAAAATAACCAATTAAATCCCAACATTTGGTAAAAAGTCTTGACTCAAACTAGCCTGGTTAAAACCAGACCATTCTCAGTTGTAACTGAGTTATGGTCTGGCAAAGCGTCATAGACAAATCATTTCCAGAGGGGCGTCACCAACGGACGTCGCGGATAGACCTAAACCCAATCAGAGCGATGAAGGAGATGACGTATGCAGAGCGGTGGAGAAACATCTCCGAGTGTTGTTCTTTGCTCGGTTTTTAACAAAAAGGAAAAGTTCAAATCGCGTAAAACAGACGCGATAGCTGATTGGAACGAGTGATGTTCGACGGCGGCATCCATCTTTGTAATGTAGGCTACAAAATCTGCTTCAAAATCCCAGCGTTGTCGTCATCGTGTAAAGCCCGCCCCAACGTTTCTGATTGGTGCCTTGATTTCGACGGATTGGAAATGGGCTTGAATGAGCTCTTTGCCAGACTAACTTTCAGAGCAAATCTAAATTTTCCAGAAGTTGTCTGGGTTTTCCCAGGCTAGACTCAAACAATAATCCACCCAAAAATGAAAATGCTGTCATATTGAATCACCATCTTGTCTTTCCAATCCTGTATTTTGAAGAATGTTGGTAACCAAACAGTTTCGGTTCCCATTGACTTTCGATGTATTTCTTGGTCTAAATAATGGAAGTCACTAAGAAATATTTGGGTACCAACAATTTTTACTTTCCAAGATCATACAGGTTTGTAACGACATGAGGCTGGGTAAATGATAAGGGAATTTTCATTTTTGGGTGTATAACTCTTTTTTTCCCTCGTTAAAATATGTTCTTGTTTCCAGTTTAATTTGCAGAGTCATCTCTAAGTAAGTCATTTGAAAGTTGATTTTCCCCAAAAAGTGCAACACTGTGGCTCTTCAAATCATAATCTGTTGGTTTGAGAATCAGTCCAACACATGATCACATCTGTTTGCCCAAACAATGGCAGATTGGGAAACCTGTTTGAACACAGGCATTATTTTTGCTATTCAGTTAGGTGCCAAAGAAATGCCACATTTCACCATTATGGTCCACTAAACTAAATCCTGATCCTATTTTACACAATTAAACTTTTTTCTATTCATATATCTAGATCAGCAGTTCTAAACCAAGGGTTCGGGGCCCGCTCGGTAGCCTCAGCAAACTTCCAAAGGGACTTAATGACTTACTAGATTTAAAATAAGAAAACAAAATCGATATACTTCTATAATATTTTTAATTCACCCCCTCAACAACTGTAAAATCGGGATATATAAAGAATTCATTTTTCACACTAATCTTAAAGTGTGATTTCTAAAGCTAAGAAATGTAAATAAATACAATATTTAAATTCCACGATGAATAAACATTCTGTAGTTATTCCAAGCTCTAAAATATTTGGGTAGAAAATAGTAAAAACTTATTCTTACTTATCCAGTAAATCACAAACAACTGGAAACATCATGCAAATTGATTGATTAAAAAAAAGAGGGATCCTTGAAGAACATTAAAACTTTTGGAATCCTGAAATTGAATCAATGGAAACTAGGATTGTCAGTCCTCTGAGTTTAGTAGTTGACAGGAGTCTTGCAGTCAAAAAGGTAGAGCGCCGCTCATCTGCATCACTGTATATACTAAATAAATAGTACAAGATTCACCTAGTGTCATATAAAACAAAGGGTCAATCATTGAACACTAAATATCCCATCCCATGTTACCTTGAGCTCGGAACAGTAGTTCTCCACCTCCTGGACGTTAGTAGGAACCGTGTGAACCTCGCGCAGGCGATTCTCATATATCTTCACGACATTTTCTGCCCCTTGTGTGTTCCGGATCACAACTTCTATCGTCTTAAGTCTACAAAGGAAAGAGATGCATTGATCTAATCTTATGCCTAATTAAATAAGTACATAATAATACACTACCGGTCAAAAGATTAAAATAATAATTACTCTCTTCTGCTCTCCAAGGCTGCATTTTATTTGATTGATTTGAATATACTGTAATATATATTTTGAAAATTTTCAGCATAATTACTACAGTCTTCAGTGTCACATGATCCTTCAGAAATCATTCTAATATCTTCTTAGTATCATCAATGTTGAAAACAGGTTTTGCATAAGAGACTTCTTTCGAAAAATCGTAATTCTTTCAAATATTTGACAGGTAGTGTACACACTAGTTAATTGGAGACAAAACATGAATGAAAAGCAGTATCCTTCAGACTAGTATTCTGAACAATGGATATGTTGTGCAACGACGTATGTGAGAGTGGTCCTTACTTCTGCAGGTACACTGAGGACAGGTTGTAGGTTTGGTCCATCTTCTGCAGGGTGATGTCCAGCTCTGAGCGCAGGACGGGGGAGCTGGACTGCTCCGGGGACGCCAGGACCTCCTCGGCTTTCTGGGACACTTTATCCAGGTTTGTCTTAATGCCTTCCAACTCCACATGCACTTTCTGTTTGAGCCAGAAACAGAAACTCTCAGAAGATCTGAACCACTTTGTTAAATATGACAAAGAACATGGTCCAAGTCATATTTCACACCAATATCAAGTGCATTTACATTTTTATTTTATTTTTTTATTTTAAAGGTGCTCTATGTAACTTTTCTACTAAAATGAATCCTTTTTTTATTGCCTGTGTGTGAAGGGGTTGTAAATCACACATTAAAATGATCCACTTGTCGAGTTTTGCTATTACCTCTGAAGGCCAGTATTCCTATTTCTATGTGAAGTCTCCGGGTCGGATTTACCGCGAAATCCAACGGATGTGACGTGCATGCGCGCTCCCGAGCCTCTCTCCTTATATACAGTCTATTGTAGACGGTCAGGGAGTTACGTCCGGTTAAAGGCGCACGTTTTTCGGCTTATATCTCAGTCAATCTTTGATCAATATTCCCAAGACTCTAATCGTTCGTAGTGCTGGACGGGGCCTTTCGAACGAGCCCACCCCCGAGGTCCAACTCGCCCGGCTCCCCGAGTTATAGCCGTTCGAAATCGGGGGGTCCCAGCGAACGGCGATCCGGTAGGGGGCATCCCCGAGGCCCGCCACTCTAGCGTTCGGGCAAGGGTTCCCCTGGGACCTCCTCCCCCGAATTTGAGCTCTCTGGGTCTTTGCGTTCCAGAGATACGAGCGATTTTCTTCTGAGATCGTGACGTCACCGGCGTCCGCAATTTTGCAGCGCGCCCGATGGTTTTCTGCTAATATCTCCGCGAAAACACCACCAAAAACTATGGAACTTATATGGTTCTTTTCAGCTCAACTAGATGGTCCCAACGAGCTCGGTGCTCGCCGAATCCATCAAGTATTCGCCGAGATATTTGCGTAATAGACGGTATTGTATATGAGTTCGAGCACGAGCGCTCTTGTAAAATTTGGTTGCAATCTGAAACATCACCACTAGAGGCCGCTAAAAGTTACGTAGAGCACCTTTAAGATAATTTTCAGGAGAAAAAACGATTTGTCGTTTAAAATAATAATAAATGAGCTACAAAACATCTGGATGCATTACAATAAGAATAAAATAAGACTGTCGTACCTTCTGTTCTGCAGTCTTCTGAACGCAGTCTTTGAGCGGATCTTTACCCGCAGGTTGGCGGATACGAGCCACTGTGCGAGACTCACAATCTTCGATCTGCAAGCGCAGGTTTTTGATTTGGGTGATGTACGACTTGCTTGTGGATTCATCCTGCTCACCTGTGAAGATAAAAGATGTGTTATTACTGTTTTCTGAATAAACAACAGTTCATTTCTCCCTTTATTTGTGCACTGCAGCCAACATTCATGTCACACACATTCCTTCTGTGTTAGTGGTACAAACGGCATTCCAAAATCAGAAGAAAAGAAACTATATATAATACTATGCATGAAGAAGATTAAGCCTATTTCAGGCACTATTACAGCTTATGACAGTAAAATATATTATTAAAAAATATATTATTGTATTAATATTTTTGTATTTAAATCATCACAAATTTAAAAGTACAAAAAACTTGGGTAAATTGTGTAAATGTGTAATTTAAAAAAATATATATATATATATACTATCAAGACTATCAACTTTAGTTTAGGATCCAATTCTCACTATTAACTAGTAGCTTATTAGCATGCATATTACTAGGATATTGGCTGTTTATTAGTACTTATAAAGCACATATTAATGCCTTATTCTGCATGACCATATTCTACATCCCTTAATCCCACCAAATACCTAAACTTAACAATTACCTTACTAACTATTAATAAGCAGTAATTATGAGTTTATTGAGGCAAAAGTTACAATTAATAGTTAGTCAATAGTGAAAATTGGATCCTAATCTAAAGTGTAACCCTTATTTCTTTATGGTAAATGCTATTTACACTAAGTGCAAATATATATAGGTGCTATTTACACTAAGTGAAAATAGCAGTATTTTTTTTTTGCACTAAGTGTAAATAGTTGTTAGATGCTATTTATACTTAGTGCAAATAGTGGCAGATACTATTTGCACCACAATGTATTGTATTATAAAACAGTATCGATTTTAGGACAATAGCCCTACCTATAACCCTACAGATAAACACTTTATTCCCGCTATTAAATATCCGTTAGGCACTTTATTTCCACTTTTCGAATATTTTCTTCATTTTTATTTAAAATAAACGCCTCTCTGAGCTGATATGTAAAAAATAGGTGCATATATGGAAAAAAGGGTGGATTCTTTTGCAATTTTCTCTGACTCAATCATACAATGTGGGCGGAGTAAGTGAAATAGCCTCTGTCAACAAGTGCAAAACCTCTTTTGCCGATAAAAACTACTGTCAGGATTTACTAAAGACACACAGTGAAAAATTACCACTGAAAAGGTGTCGACAGTTATTTTTGCGGCTGACCTTAATGCACATGCATTTGTAGGAGTTTCCATTTCAAAAGTAGGAGAGTATTTAAATGAATCTTGCGAGGTGATTTACTAAGGTTTGCGCTCGTCAATTTACTGGTATTTGCGCCATTATTTGCCGTCCAAGAAAAGCACATCTTAAACCAGACGCTAATTTGAGCTGCTCTTGGTAGATTGTGTTGGTCATTATGGAAATGATCCGGCTGGATCTGTGTTCTTTCATTTGCGGGTCGTCAGTAGATCACGAGCACAACTTTCCACTTTTTTAGGATTGCACTCTCTCACCCTCTTTTAGTAAATCCGTCCCTCTGTTTCTTTATTCTTTAGGATTCCATGTTGGAAATACAACATGTTTCATTGGATTCCCCTTATTAAATGTCAATCTAAACTGCAAATATATGAACAACACAGAGTCAGAAATGTATCTTTTGATCAGTGTACGTTTTTCCTCTGTATCATGCTACTGTATTGAGTTTTTAATACATGCACACTCTGTAGAGATGCGCAGTTAGCTACAACACAGGAACGAAACAATGACAAAAGCTGACACAACATGTTTTTCATTAATAAAGCAGCTCATCCATGATAACTGGACTTTGCTCATGACTGTCAGCAGGAGCACAAGACTCACCCTGTGCTCTGACAGCTGCTCCTGTAACGTGAATTTAACAGTTACTCAACATCCGTGAAAAAACATCAGCCTGATTTTTCAAAAGTGTTTTGCGGTGCACATTGGGCTTTGTCAGGGGCTTCATGTTTATCGCGAGGTGAAGTCTGTACCTTTCTCCAGGGTGCGGAGCAGTTTGTCGAAATGCTGCGTGGTCTCCTTATAGTCCCTTTCGATCTGCATGTTGTCATTTGAATCGAACATCTTTGAGTCCTGGCTGTCTTTGAGAAAGTCCTGATAGTGCAGCTGAAGGTTCCTCAAAATCAGCTGGTACTCGTCTGACTTCATCGTCTTGAACTGAAACATAAGTGGACAAACATATAAACCATTAGCTTCTTTTAAATTCAAAATGGTTATATCTGCATCTTTCCCGTGGTTATTGCTACGACGGGATAACAATAATCTTCATTTTGTCTTTTGTCTAAAATTGACAATCTATAGCAAACTTATTCTGAGATGTTAAAACAGTCAAATGACTTCTTCTCTTCTCTTTAATTTGTTTAGGAGGGCCATCGAAGGCCTGTTATTCAATAAAGCAATTCTCCTTGTTTAGTTTCCTAAATATAACTCAAGTTATATAAAAAAAAAAAATCAAGTTACTGAGGTTAGAAGTTTTGAATGTGGTTTTCAGCCTTGTGGTTTAAAAAACAAGTGATTTTGTTCAAGTGCATCAAAACCTGCAAGACTAATTTGCCACTGGTTTCCTGGTAGTTTTTTCCAATTTATGAGTAAAATAAGGTCTGTGTTGAACAACTTGATGATACTTGAACATTTTGTTCAAAAACATAAACTGCAAACACTCACACTTTTCCCACATTTTCAATATGGGTGTGTAATTTAAATCGTTTTTACAGTTAATTTACTAAATTACGTAAAGCAAAAATTACAACATTGTGATAAAATTACTAATATCGTGATATAAGATTCTGATGTGAGCACACATTTTTTCTTTTACATATGCTAGAGGGAAATATCCAGCCAGTACATTAACATTAAACACAAGTACATTCAAGTTTCACAACTACATTTCATCATCCCTTATTTGTTGAGTTAGCGGCTCAGACATCGAGACGTGACTAAATGACACGAATAAAGCCGAGAACAGACCATAGTGATGTTCCATGAGCGGATGAGATGGATGTCTTTCATCAGGTATTGCCAGGACAGCAGACTCCTGAGGTCAACGTGTAGTTTCTGCCAGAGAACCAGTGTCTGCTGGTGACCAGACTCCAGACTGTGAGAAACATCAACATAACACTCACAAACATTAGTCAATATGTTTTAGGTCATACTGTCATACTGATTCTTCACAGATGTACAGTAGCTGTTCTACATTTAGTGAGCAGCCAAACTAGACAGCATTTTTAGGGCATCAGAGGAACACGCACAATATGATGAACAGTAGGAATCAAATGTATGCATCCTTATATGATACCAAGGATTACCAAGCTTTTTTTAACAGCCGAACCTCTTTGGCGCAAAATATTTACTCAAAGTACACTACCAGTCAAACGTTTTGGATCGGTAAGATTTTTTATGTTTAAGTCTCTTCTGCTCACCAGGGCTGCATTTATTTGATAAAAAATACAACAACAAAAAAAACAGTAATATTGTGAAATATTATTACAATTTAAAACAGCTGTTTTCTATGTGAATATATAGTAAAGTGTAATTTGTTTCTGTGTCACATGATCCTTCAGAAATCACTCTAATATGATGATTTGCTGCTCAAGAAACATTTCTCATTATTATCAATGTTGAAAACAGTTATTTACATTTTTATTTCAGGATTCTTTGATGAACAGAAAGTTCAAAAGAACAGCATTTATCTGATATAGAAAGCTTTTTGTAACATTAAACACCACCGTTCAAAAGTTCGGGGTCAGTAATCATTTTTATTTTATTTTTGGGGGGGAAAGAAATCAATACTTTTCATCAAGGATGAATTAAATTGATCAAAAGTTACAGTAAAGACATTTATAATGTTACAAAAGATTATATTTCAAATAAATGCTGTTCTTTTGAACTTTCTATTCATCAAAGAATCCACATATGAAGCGGCACAACTGTTTTTAACATTGATAATAATAATGAATGTTTTTTGAGCATCAAATCCTCATATTAGAGTGATTTCTGAAGGATCATGTGACACTGAAGACTGGAGTAATGATGCTGAAAATTCAGCTTTGATCACAGGAATAAATTACATTTTAAAATACATTAAAATAGAAAACATTTATTTTAAATTGTCATAATATGTAACAATATTGCAGTTTTTTGTTGTATTTTTAATCAAATAAATGCAGGCCTGGTGAGCAGAAGACACTTCTTTTAAAAGCATTAAAAATCTTACAGATCCAGAACTTTTGACTGGTAGTGTATCTCTCTGAGATTTTAAGTTAATACTTTTGATCATTTAATGATACATTCGCAAGTTCATGGTTCTCTGATGACAGTTAATGGTCACATGACATGCAAGTAAACACACCTGGAGACACTATCGACAGCGTCCTTGTTGACGGGCGGCACGAGGAAGCAGACAGACGGCACGACGGCTTCGTTGCCCGAGCGGTGCAGGATCTTCCACTGGAAGGGCTGGGAGTTATTGATGAGCGCGCACTCGTCGCCCTTGTGCATCGTGATCTGTTACAGGACACAGGGATTTAAGCATACAGCACAAAGCACAGGCTGGGTGTGTGTTAGGGCGAACGCGACTGTGTCTACCTCCATCTGTTTGAAGTCACACACGGCCTGGATGGGCAGTTTTCCTCTGACGGAGGTGGTGGGGTCCCGTGGCTTCAGCTGGATCACTGATTTGGCTCTCTTGTTCAGGCCGGCGATGTCAGTCTTAAACTCGTTCAGCTGCTCTCTTTCCTCCTGTGGGAAAACTCTATTACTTCAAAGCTTCTCAATTTGATTTCTTTCTTTCATTGTATACCGTCATAAGAAATGTTGGCAGCACTTTACAATAAGGTTTCATTTGTTATCATTAGTTAACTACATTAGTTAACATGAACTCACAATACTTCTACAGGATTTAGTAATCTTAGTGTTAATCTCAACATTTACTAATACACTATTAAGATCAAATGCTGAATCTGTTAACATTAGTTAATGCACTGTGAACTAACATGAACAAGTTCATTAACAAAGGTTAATAAATGCTGTAGAATCCATTGCTCATTGTTAGTTCATGTGAGTTAATGCAATGTTAACAAATGAGAACTTATTGTAAAGTATTACCCATGTGAAATAAAACACTACTTGATGTTGTCAAATGATGACAATTCAAGTGAATGTGTCTGCGTAGATGACTTTTAAGCAAATAAATCATGATAACATCTCTTAAGTAAATGTTTGCAGTAACAATCACTATCAATAACTACACATGCAAAACAAATACCAGCATTAGATTAGGGAACACTATTCACTTTTAACTAGATGCTTATTAGCATGCATATTACTAGCATATTGGCTGTTTATTAATACTTATAAAGCACATATTAATGCCTTATTCTGCATGACCATATTCTACATCCCTTAAAGGGATAGTTCACTTTGAAATAAATTTTTGGTATGTTTTAGCTTACCTCAAGGGCATCCAAGATGTAGGTGTCTTTGTTTCCACAGTAGTTTCAATTTTGATATTTTTAGGTCAAACCGTTCTTGTCTGTCAGTCATATAATGCAGGTCTATGGTCACCACCTCAAAGAGCACGCACAGAGAAGTCCAAATTAAACATGATTTAATGACTTGTAAATGTAAGTACACATTGATGGCCTAAGACACGAAACGAGCGGTTTGTGTGAGAAAACGAACTGATACTGAAGTGATCTCTCGCGCGGTTGCGAAAAAAGTTCAACGTTGTCTGTTGATATATCGAAATCGTCTTCCATTGCAATTTCCTGTATATATACATATGTTTAGATCTTCACATGGAAAGGTAACACTTACGAAATCTCTGTGTAAACAATGAGTGACGTACACGCGCGAGAGATCACATCCGGCGCTTGCGCAGACCGAAGCGCCCGCGCCCTCAGATCACTTGGACATGGCTGTGTTTACAAGAGGTAAAAACGATATAAATACTGTTCGTTTTCTCACACAAGCCGTTCGTTTCATGTCTTAGGCCATCAAAGTGTACTTACATTTACAAGTCATTAAATCATGTTTAATTTGGACTTCTCTGTGCGTGCTCTTTGAGGTGGTGACCATAGACCTGCATTATATGACTGACAGACAAGAACGGTTTGACCTAAAAATATCAAAATTGAAACTTCTGCGGAAACAAAGACACCTACATCTTGGATGCCCTTGAGGTAAGCTAAAACATACCAAAAATTAATTTCAAAGTGAACTATCCCTTTAGCCATACCCAATACCTAAACTTAACAACTACCTTACTATCAATTAGCAGTAATTAGGTATTTATTGAGGGGAAAACTCATAGTTAATCGTGAATACTGTATGTGTTCCCTAATCTGAAGTGTTACCCTATAAGCCATCTACTAAAACTCACAACAGCATCTTGGAGTAAATCCTCCAAACGAGTGGAAGTGACGGTGCGATCACACATGTACTTCTTCTTCATGGTCTCCTGCATCTTCTTCATCCTCTCCTCAGCATCTCTTACATCAGCAAAGAACTATTGGTAAAACAGACAAGAGAGGTAGAGAAAGAGGATACTGCTTAAACACGGTTGACCAACAGAGATTTGCTGTGGTAAAGAACATAGTTACATTTTATTGGGCGGGCATTTGATGATGCCGTACCTGAAAGTATGCAGTGTTCTCTCTGAGATGAGTTTCAATGCAACAGCACACTTGAAGGATCCAGCTCCACTGGGTCTGCAGACCTGCGGTGAAGGCCTGAAGATCACCAACACAACACACATGTAACAAATACAACATACTACACACTAGCGTCCAGATGTTTGGGGTCAGTACGTTTTGTTGTTGTTGTTGAAAGAAATTAAAGTCCTCTGCAGTCAAAAATTGTATGCCTTAAAACTCATCTTTGATAATCAAAATGACATATTTCTTCATGCCTTAAAATAGCTTAAATGTAACTCTACACCCTTGGTTCATTTAGTATACGCGAATTATATTAAAATTAGTCTCAGCCGCAACTTTACGCTGCACAATTGCATACTGGTTTAAGAGAGAAAGAGTGAAGAGTGAATTTTACAGCTTTGTCTACAAGTCGATGTATCAGAATGGTAATGCGTTTCTCTTTACAACGTCGGACACATAATGGTAATTGATATGATTGGCCTTTGGCTTGACTATGTTATCAAATGGCTAATGTGTTGCCAATACACTATGTTACTGTTTGCAATCTCAGAGTCAGACAGTTTCCTTCTGAAAATCAGCTTCCTTAGAAAATGCCTTGAACCGTCTTTTGTGGACCGTCTTTGGTACACTTGAAGCATTTTAGAAATATGAATAAGATAAGAAATGTAGTTCATGCCGTACCTCAACAGTCTTCTTGCCTGGATGGCCGTCTTTAATGAGTCTGTCTCCAGTGGCCTTGATGTCATTGACCTTCTTCTCCCTAAGTTCCAGTTCACGCATGAGTCCCTGGGGAATTAATAAAGCCATGAAGCAGCACTTCAAACTGTAAAATATTCTCCATTTACAAGTCCTGGAACAACCCATTTCTCAACCAATCAAAGTCAAAAATATCCCCTTAATCTTAAACAAATAAACGGGTTTATAAAATGCTTTTATTGGGCTACACTTACTGAGTAATTCTCTTTCTTTGCACCCATGTTGGTGTTGTGTTCACTCCAGTCGTAATTGATCTCCTCTTCCTCTTTGTCATTAAGCCACATCAGTTCCTTGGTGGCGGCACTGACAAAGTTATATAGATGGTCAAGATTTCTCATACGGGACTTGGAGGAGTTCTAGAGAGAAGAAAAATACAGTATATGGTTACACGGAAGCGCACCGGCTCAATGATTTTTAATTTCGAATTAACTTAATTTCATTAAGTTCGAACACTCACCAGCAGTTTGTTGTACTGCAGATCCAGTTTGCCCAGATATTCTCTGTATGTGCCTTTACTAGCAGGCGAGAGTTGGTTCTGAAATACACAAAGAGGTGGAGACGTCAGCTCTTTAAAGTCAAATGAAATGTAAAATTGTACATTTGTTTAGTCAAGTCCAGTTGCAAGTTACAACACGCATTTTTTCAAAGCGGCTTTACAGTAAATCATGATATTAATGTTCATATCTTCCTGCCTTATAGCCGCATTTAGCAGATTAGAGCTGGGTGAAAAATAATTGCACAGCCATTATTTGCTATAAACTAGGCTATGTATCGCTTTATGTGAATATACTTATATACTTAACTTTTAATATATTTTTGTGTGATAAAATAGTTTACATTTTGAGACGATATAAACAATTACGTGGATCAGATTTGCTAGTATATATTGCTTTACAATACAATACAATAAAATACACATTTGATTTATATAGCACATTTAAAAAACAAGTGCTTACCACCATAGATAATACAACAAAGGCAATTACATACAGTCACACAAACAAAATTAAATCCTGTTCACTCAATCAGTTCTAAAAGCCTTTTTAAAAAGATACGACTTCATGAGTATACTTTGTGTATGCAGATGTGTATGCAGTTGGACAAACTTATAATTCAACTTTTTATAAAGAGCTGTGCGATAATATAGTTTACATTTTATGATTATATAAACAATCAAGCAGCTGAGATTTGCTCTATAGTATATATCTCCCTATGCGACTATACAGTATGTATGCGGATAAAGTTAGACTTATGTATCCAACTTTATAATAGAGAGCTGTGCGACAATACAAACAATCAAGCAGTTGAGATTAGCTATATAGTATATATACTTTCAATAGTTGCATAATTTGTTATTAACTCTGTCCCCACCATTGAGAGATATTTCCGGCTTTCCGTGTTTTCACTGTTATACGGTAGGGGGCCCTATGACACAAAACCTCAGGATCAAAACACAGGCGAAAAAGAAGCAGAAACAAGCGATAGCATATGTAAGCAGATGCATATGTAAAATAACGCTATCCTTTTCACATTAAACAGCATATAAATCAAAACTGCCTAATGTTACTGAATGAAATGTCGACTCAGGACGAGCTAAAGGACTGTGAAGCTTTGGGGGTGTTGATGGACTCGATCTACTCCATCTGTGTTTCGATCACCGTTCTTAATCATCGATCATCCGATCTGGATGTAGTCTTTGACAAAAATGCATTTTTCTCAGCTTTTTGCTCTAACAGTTTTTTTAATGCTGGCGGTGGCTGCCAATAATAATAAAAAATGCTTAGCAGGGATAGAGTTAATGAACAATTCGTTAAAAAAACCCTGAAAAAACAAGCACCTCATCTGCTCGAGCTCTCTCAATCTTAGCCTTGAAGTCCTCGATGGTTTGGTGAAGACCTCTGTGGCTGCCCAGCTGAGACTCCACAGACGGAAGATCATTGCCCCACTCGGAGGAATCGATCCTGCGCTGGTTCTCCTCCACCCAGGCTAACAGGTCCTGTGCGTAGCGGAGAGTGACCTCATCCAGCTCGGGTCGCACGCGTTGCGTAGACCTCTGGGAGACTTGGGTCATGGAGACGTGAGAAGTAGTACTGACGCTGGACTTGAGCCTTAGATTGTAGTCACTGCGCAAGTTCACCAAGCGCTCGTGTAAGCGGTAGACCCTGAGAAAAGAAAATCACAAGTCATTCTTTTTCCTTGACTTTCAGGATTTAGCATTAAGCTTTGTATTAGTAGAAAACCTGTAGTATTTTCGAATGACCATGCTTTCCACCCTCATATCCCCTTGAGACGAGAGATTTATGTATTTTTTGTCTGGAAAAAATCCTGGAAAATTCGTCATTTTGCGTCATCGGAGGATTTTTTTGGCCAGAGGCTAAAGACTACAGTCAGTAGTAGGGGCTGTCCCGCATGTTCTCAACCCGCCCATAGAGGGTGGGATCTCACTCACAGAATGGACACATAGTCTCAGACATCTTTTTTTGGAAGCTAAGCTAGCAGGCTCTTGTTCTGTGTTCTGTTCAATCTAACTGGATTCATTCCGATTGGTGAATCTGAATGTAGTGTTTACATGAACGCTAAACAAGTGATCGGTTGATGTGCGTTTTAACATTGCTAAGAAAATTCCCGCTCCTCCGTGAGAGATACGAGAGCGGTGCGTCTCACAGGTGTCGCTCATTGGTAATCACGCCCTCGGCCTCGCGCCGTTCTCCCGCGGCCCTCACTCGTCCTGCTCGCCACAGTAAACATGATGAATGGAGACTGTAGAACGCAAAAGCTGAATCCTGGACATTTTGGGCGATCTCGGAACACATTTTCGGGCAGACTCATCACGGAGACTCACTAGTAGCCTAGACTTGTTGTTTAACTACTGCGCTCTGATACCGGTAGGCGTGGCCTCTTAGGGCAGCGAAGCAAGTGCATTCTGGGAGTTGTTGTCTTTCATCCACATAAGCCAAAAATACATTTTCTGGCTTTTCTCCAAATTCAAAAATTATTTCACATTTCTTCTACATAAATGACCCATTTTAAATACACATTCATCTTTCCAGAGGTGAAGTATCCCTTTAAAGAGGTTTAGCAGTGAGTCCGATTATACAAGCCCCAGGTTTCATAGACAAGGTTTAAGCCTATTCCCTAAAATGCACGTTTGCGCTGTTTTACCTGAAAGCAACTTGAACAGGTATATCTTAAAATATGTCAGTGCCTCTGTGTCTCAAGATGCACATGTTTTTTTTTAAGGCATGCTTATAAAAGACACTTAAATGTCTTAATTGAACTTAGGCCTAATCCTGGCTTAATCTAAGCCCTGTCTTTGAAACCAGGCCCTAATTTGTAATATTTACATATGTAGATTGATTTTCAAATCGGATTTGAAAGAATTCACTTTCAAATCCGGTTAATGGACTTCAAGCTTCTGGAAGAAGGTTTTCCACTACAGTAGTGCTAAGAAACATCCGATGACCTCACCTGCGATACATCTGCTCCGCCTGCAGGTGGCGCCCATCTTTGAGAAGCTGAACGTCATTAAAGAGGAGACGGATCATGCCATCGGCTTTGTCCAGATCTCTCTCCACCTCTACTGTGTGCTTCGCTGGTTTCCCCGCATTCAGGAGACGAATATCCTGCGACAACAGAGACACTATCATGCACAGTCACAGCCTTTACAGCAACTTCACATTTGACCGAATAATAACAGCGTTTTTGAAGATTCAACAGATCTATGCTCTCACCGTCTGCAGTAGAGACTCAGTCTGGTTGATTTGTTCCTCACACATGCCTGATTCCATCTGCACTTTACTGACAATCTGTTGGAGACGTTCTAACCTGGAAATTATCAGAATTTGCATAAAAATAATTAAATTTTCTAAATTGATAGTTATGGCGAATAGTCACACGTTCCACTGGAAGTGAGTTCGTTTTTTCAATAGAATTAAGAGATGGGATTTTCAATGCATAAAAATAGACATGTCAGAACATATTCTGTCTGTAAAAACAATATTCGTTTTGAAACTAAAATACAAATGAGAATAATATGATAGGAAATTAGTTCATCCAACCACTAAAAATAACCTGGATGTGAGTTGGTTAAAAGTAATTAAGAAACTCACAGTTTTCCGCGACGAAGCAAATACTCTAACCGATATGTGTCAGTCATAAAGGCCATTTTTTACAATCCAAAAGCATGTAAGACTTTCTCCGAAATGCATAAAAACATGTTTTTCTTGTTATAATCCTGTCATGGGACTCGGACACAGCAAACCACAGCCAGGAAAAAGTTGTTGGTCAGCCATTCCAGTCCAGTCCATAAAGGATCTGTGTGCTGCACATTACTCTTGTCCAGCAAGAAGCAACATTGTCTTGTGACAGGGGATGTGTCCTGTTTTAGATGATACTCCCTCTCCTTCTAGATGATTGATATTAATAACGGTTTCATTTAATCTCATTTACTCCAGATCAAAAGCGCCACATTCCTTTACGTTCTCACTTACATTAAAAATCAGTAATCTTGCTATGCTGCTTCACTTCACTGGAAAGATTAAATGATTCAATTGCAAGAATGTCATAAAATTATAACAATATCTATAAGCCAAACCAAAATTTAAAGTGGTTTTGTTTAAAGTGTTACAACTAAACATAAATTATGTTCGCCATTCCCCATTGATTTGCCAAATAGTTTAAGGTTTCTTTCATCAAAATGGCTGTAATTTATTTCTTTGACTGCCGTACCTTTAAGACGTCAGTATGTAAATGATCTCTGTTGTGATTGGCTAAGCACTTTGCATGTGGAAACACCCTTAAGTTCACACTGTCATTCATTATGGTATTAATGTGTAAACATACACAGTCATATGCTTAAGATAGTTTTAAATGAATAAACAATAAATATAGTGATGAAAATACAGACGAAAAGTGTTTGTAACAAAGTGGAACATGTTCATGGCTAAGGTAATGAACAAAAAAAGCTGATTAAAAGTCACTTAACAAAAAAAGATGAAGAAGAGTGAAGACAGAAGCTCTGTCTGCCAATGCCACTTTTTTATATTTGATATTTTGTATCAAGTGCAATTTTGTATTCAAAGTCTCTAAATATGTTTTGGGGCCACATTGAGATCCGGTAGAAGTGTATTTTTCTAATGCAGCTCTTATTAGTCTAGAACGTCCTTCATTGTGTGTTATAATGGCTGATGTATGTCCATTTTTGGACTGTATTTTTAGTGTTTGGTCATATTCACAATGACCACGAGACAAAGCTACAACAAAACTAAGACAGCAGAGTGAGAGGTCTGTGTTTTCGGACATGTTCCTCACCTCTCAAACTCGATTCTGAGCAGTCTCTCTCTCTCCAGGATGGCCACATGAAGACGCCCCCATTCCTTCTCAACATCAATGGGGTGATAACCAGGAGGGACCTTAACCTGACCAGCATGAACCGCACTCTGTGGGAAATTTGCAGAACATCATATTAGGACAGAAGTAACATATCGATGTACAGAAATTAAACACTTTCACATGAGACATTCTACTAACTGTAAGTAACTCTGCAACTACATGTCAACTAACTCTCAGAGTATTACTTGACTGTTAGGTTAGAGTTCGGGTTAGTAGAATACGTTGACATGTAGTTGTAAAGTAACATAGTCAGTTGAATGTCTGTTGGGAGCATTAATATAAAGTGTTCGCAGATATTAATAGACAGTCTACTAATACTCTAATGAGAGTTAGCTGACATGGAGTTGCAAAGTTACTTATAGTCAGTAAGAATGAGTAAAGTGGACTATTGAAACAAAGTGTTAACAATTATTTTGACATCTCATGTTACATGTTTAAATCTCCAAGACTGTGGCATTATGAATTGTGAAGTCCTGTGCACAAACCTCAAAGGACTGGTAGAGGTGTTTGGAGCGGCTCTTGTCTGACTCTCTGGCGGGCAGCTCGGTTTCTTTATATTTCAGAAACTGACGCCATAGAATCTACAATACAATTGCACAAGCAAATCAATAAACAAACACATAAAGAGCTTGCCACAGATGCTGGAATATTCATATAGTATAAATAGTGCAAGACACAGTTTGACCTTGATCATCCTAAGCATGTCCATTTGAATGGTTCAGTAAGCATTTGTTAAAAGTGCCTTTGTTAAAAAATCTTTGTTATTCATCTGGCATGGACTGACATGACTGAGGGTTGTTTCACAAAGCTGGTAATATAAGTACGTTCCCTCAGACTAAGATGATATAGCCATTACACAGCCGCCCCACCCTGAAGAGACAGAGCCATACAAACTCAAACAAAGATGTTCAAAGACAGAACGCCTGCTCTTCGTGATGCGGTGTCATATGACATGACTCATGCACTTCAGAGAAGGATTTCTTCCAACAGGATAGAGTTCAACCCAGGTTATTGACAGTGTTCGCACTCTTAGAAAAAAGGTTCAAAGTGGTTCAATGTAGAACCCTAGGGCTCCTGACTTAATTTTAAAGAAGACTTTATGCCAAAAAGGTTCTATACGAGGACTATACAGACTACTTTCATGCTTAATGGTTATTTAATTATTCTTCAAGTGATACAATGTTTACAAGATGTTTATTTCATAAAACTGAATTAAAACGAGAAATGAATTAAAACAAAATTAATTAATTTAAACTAAATGCATAAAATGGTCCCATGATGAAAAAAGTTATCTGTATGAATCACCTTAGATAACCCTTTCTTTTAAAACAGCGTGGGATTGACTTTTTTAAACTGTTTGCCAAGCTCAAAACTAACCAATATTTTATTTTTTAAAAACTATTTCAAGGAGGCTATGGATGGATTTATGGATGTATAGATTTATATATGTATATATGTATATATGTATATATGTATATATGTATATATGTATAGATAGATAGATATAATGATGATAGATAGATAGATAGATAGATAGATAGATAGATAGATAGATAGATAGATAGATAGATAGATAGATCGAATGATAAAACGTTAGATAGATAGATAGATAGATAGATAGATAGATAGATAGATAGATAGATAGATAGATAGATAGATAGAATGATAAAACGAAAGATAGATAGATAGATAGACAGATAGATAGATAGATAGATAAAACGATAGATTGATAGAATGATGATAGATAGATAGATAGATAGATAGATAGATAGATAGATAGATAGATAGATAGATAGATAGATAGATAGATCGAATGATAAAACGTTAGATAGATAGATAGATAGATAGATAGATAGATAGATAGATAGATAGATAGATAGATAGATAGATAGATAGATAGATAGATAGATAAAACGATAGATCGATAGATAGAATGATAAAACGATAGATAGATAGATAGATAGATAGATAGATAGATAGATAGATAGATAGATAGATAGTTAGATAGATAGATAGATAGATAGATAGATAGATAGATAGATATAATGATAAAACGATAGATGATAGATAGATAGATAGATAGATAGATAGATAGATAGATAGATAGATAGATAGATAGAATGATAAAACGATAGATAGATAGATAGATAGATAGATAGATAGATAGATACTAAATGCTACTAATAAAACTAGACACACCCTAATTTTTATAACTGAGGCACAAACAATTCGAAATATCATGAAACAAAATGTTTTTTACATAAATAAATAAAGCACAGCGACTCAAATGTTTGTTTGAAACTATGAAATGTCACATAAAATAAATGACTTCCCCATAAAGCTACTTTCAAGCTAATTAAAAATGTAGTAAAGTTAGTTGAATCCCTAATTTAATCATTAATAACTAAAGTTAGTTACTTCCCAACACTGGTTTTGTATCCCTGTGTGTATTCTCCTTAAATGACCCTAAACAAGTCCCCCGTCCTGCTGAAGAGACTAGCTTAGACCAGTGTACATGTATATGCTGGTCAAGACTCGTCTATCATATTTAGTGCTGCATTGGTGTTGGTCAGCAAAACTTTAATCACTTTCTGGTTGACCAAGGAAAGCAATTCTTGCTGGTTAAACCAGTTAAGACCAGTTAAGACTGGTGTCCAGAATGCAGATCACAGCATATGCTGGTGACCGAGCTGATCTTTTAACCCAGGTAATTCTACAGAAAACCCAGACAATGTGGATCTCACAACAGATAATGAAGACTGCAATTCATTCAATAACTAGATAAGAACAGTAACTAGTAGCAACCCGGACCACACAACAGCAGACTTTACATTAGCGTTCCTCACCTCAATCTCCTCATAGCTGCTGGGAAACTTCCTCTCCTCAAAGATGGTAATGTGATGTCTGATCCATTGGTACAGAACGGTGATCAGCTCATAGTATTCGGTCCAGCGCAGCTCCAGCTCCTGCAAGCGGGAGGAAAAACACACGGAAACTATTCAGGGGAGAACAGGAACGCTCTTTTGCCCCTGTGCTAAGTCACTTATCACGTTCACTCAATTAGGTGTCAACAAGCGTAGCCTTGTCTGATAACAGCATATGAAGCGAGGGAGGAATCAAAGTACCAAAATAGCTGATCCTGATAGGTTGATTGATAGTCTGTGACACAGATCATTTCATTCTCTTTCTCATGATAGATTCTGATGGTGTGAAGGAGGAATCAAATAAAACTGGATCCAAATCCAGATAACACAAAGTCTATGACCTCTTGAAGGTTACAGTATATTTCCTAAACCTTCTATCTATATTAAAGGGTAACTAAACACTAAACCAACTTTTTTTAATTAATGATCTGTAAGACTGGGGCTTTATTAGTGCTGTTCATTGATTCGAGTAACTTTTTTGACATTTGGGTATAAAGTGTTTTAATTCTACAATACATGGTGTTAAAACAGGTTGAACCCTCTTCAGGTTGAACGGTGGCTACTGCAGTTGAATTTTCCTATTGGATGTTTGCGGTAGTTCGTGACGGTAGCGGTGAGAGCTGACGTAAGCAGGTTTCAGCTTACCACGCCCTTGGTACGAGCTACCACGTCCATGGCAGTATAAAAACCGGACAAAAGATGACCAATCGTGGTGATTTCTGTGGTCGTGGCTCGTAAACAGTTGTCCTATGTCGTACAGTGAGAGAGGTTCAAAGACGACCCAAAGATAGCCTGCGATCATTAGATCATTGTTTGCTGCTACGACCGACGTCTACTGCCTAGCCAATCAAAATGCGACATGAAATGGCGTATTGATCAATGTGACATGGCGCTAAAACTTAAAACTTCTTACTTCAAGCTCCATTTGCAAGATTGGCATGCCAAGTTGGCCTCTTTTCCCTAGCCATGACCGCGTCCATATTCTCCTCTTTCACTTTTCAGCGCACATAAAAACCACAATTGCCAAAGTGCGATTCATCTTGCTCTATTTGTTCACCACTGGCACATGCTGATGACGTTTTATTCTTCTATACTAACTTGCATTGTAGCCTACGACTCAATAAGTCTCATCATCGTACAGTCTACATACATGACAAGTTTATTAGATCCATGTCGTACAGTGTGATTTGTAATCATCGTGATTTGTGATTTGCAAGCATTACGGTGTAAACATGGAGGTTAAATAAGAGCCTTCAGATATTTTGACTATAAACCAGGATGAGGGTCAAAATGTTCTTGATTCACCATATTTGTATGCAAAGAACAAATATTAATAATTCATATTTTTGTCCTTTCTTCACACAAAGCTAACGTACACTCTTAAAACTAAAGGTTGACATCTGGTTCCACCGAGAACCTTTAACATCCATGGAACCTTTCCATTGGACAAAAGGTTCTTTATAGTGGAAAAGGGTTCTTTCGATTTTTTTTAAAAGTTCTTCACACTTTTCACACTACATTAGGGTTATTCTATGGCATTGCTGTGAAAACCAAGAAGCAAGACTGGGAATATAATCATGTGGACAGTTTTTGGAGCTCAACAGTCTTAAGGTGGAGTCACATTAATGAAATTTCGGCAAGATTTTCCGGGCAAAAAAGGTCCATTGTCTATTGTCAAGAGCAGAGCGATGTATGAAGCACAGACGTCACTTTCACACCAAGCAGCTTTCTGTTTGTGAAGGTGATGAATTTGCGTGAGCAACTTGAACGCAAGCATAATCTACAATGGGAAATTCTTCACCCTCACAGAAGGCCTGGATTCCTTCCGAAATGACCGGATTTTGCCCATACGAGGAACGTAATTGTGAACGCATCTTTAGATCCAATACAACAGCATGAACATTTTACTAAACTTCTCCTTTTGTGTTGGACGAAAGAAAGAAAAGTATGAGATCCGGAACAAAGCCATCAAGTATTGTGAGTACATGATGAACTTCTCGTCATTGTCAGAGACTGGACACTGATGCTATTTAGCAGTAACGTGGGAATGGGCAAGCCTTAAGAAACCTCATTCCTAAAAATGCTTCATTAGTTTTATTAGATTTGGTTCGACTGCATATTAACTGGACTATGTGCTGACTGCTTGTGTCTGGAACTGGTTTGTTAAGCGGCAATTACGTCATTTTAAAATGACGAGAAGGAAACTCACTTTGGCTTTGCCGCCGTCCTGGACGTCTGGAACTCGTGGCATAGCGTCGTACAGGGAGGAGACGTAGGTGATTATGGACTTCTCATCAGGATGAGGCACATCCACATCTGCAATGAAATGTATTGTAGATCAGTAGAATTCATTGTTTCATTCGGAGTGTGACATGAAAATGTGTGATTGTTTGTGTTATTTTTTTAAGCAGACTGTAGTATTTCTCTATTGTGACCGGGACTTGATTTTGTTGTTGTTTGATTGTTTTCGCTTCAATCTTATGTCAGTGCACACATTATTAGAAAAGGCATTTCGTTTTGAGAGAGAGATTATGAGGGCACTTTTTTTTTTTTTATAATGATGTGTGCAGATAAATAATAATAATTATTTATTATTTGAATTGTGAATACATTTTAATTTTATGGTGACCAGTTCATACAAAAATCCATGTAAAGTCAAAGGGTTCACAAACTTTTGACACTTCTCAAGCTGTTGTGGGATTGAACAAAGGTTATTTTCGTAAATGAAAACTGAGACTAAAGGCCTGTTCACACCGGGATGAATTTCGCGCGCGATATTCGCCGACGTTTAACGCCTCGTGACTAAACAAAGGGCGCCAATGTGAGTGTGCACACTGACACAAAAAACGCCACGCGTTAAAGCGTCATTTTTTAAAAAACGCCTCGGGTTCGTTTTTTGGGTTTGACGCGCCGCGTCAAAAACCATCCGACCAATGAGATTGCCGCTTTTACTCACGTTTCTGGAGCTTCTGAAGTTACAGTAAAACACAACTTGGGGGCGCTCAAACACAAAACGGTCTTGCCGAGCACACATACGTAACGGCGAAGAAGATATACGCCAAGTAACGTCTACACTGCCGGGAAGAAATAAGACGAGGAAGATGCAAGGCAAGATGAATGTAGAGCTGCTGGTCTCGTTGGTGTCGGAATGAATTTGCATGTTCACTCGGCTCATCGTCAGCGAAAATCGCTTGGGTGTGAAAAAAAAAAAAACGCGTTGAAAAACGCTGGCGAATAACGCGCGCCGATATTCGTCCCGGTGTGTACGAGCCTTAAGACTAAAAATCTTGGTAAAAAAAATCTTGGTCATCCTGTGGCGGAAAACCTGACCTGTGGCTGTTTAGGGAAACACCAGTAGATGGCGCTTCATGGGTGTGAGGTGAAGCAGTAAGGCTGCGAGATTAAGTCCTGAGCGGCTACTATTCACACAGAACGCATTTTTGCGTTTAAAAAAACAAGACTCGGACGATGGAATGAGCTTTAAACTTGAGCGCTGCGTTTTTAGAATGTCGTTTCATGCGCGAGACGCAGATGCAACAGCCAAACACGTCCGTCAAAAGCATGTTTACATAGAAAACAATTGAAAAGCAGTGCAATGCAAAAACCTGTAAAGAACTACCTGTACTGCTGTATGTTTGAGATTTAATGTTTGCATGATGGTGAAAATTGCTGTTATTGTCTTTGTTTTTTCAAACCATTATTATACTATTCATGTGGACACATTTCTCCACAACTACACACACACACACACACACACACGCTGCATTTACACTTCATTATTTAATCACACTGGCTAGAACTGACTTGAACTGTTTCTAGATTTACCAGTAGTTTCACTGATACATTGTAGATCTGGAAAAAAAAAGTAAACTAGGCATGTTTAACAAGAAGTATGAATGAATAATTTTTACTTTTATACTTTTAAGTAGCATTTGTTTGGTTAATTTTCAATCTCAAACAATTATTTATTATTTTTATTATTAAGAGGTTAGCACAAGAGTTAACTGAAAACTGTGCAAACATTAAAAGCTGAAATTAAATGTATAGCTTTGGTCTAGACGGGAAGTGTTCTGTAACTAAAATTACTAATTATAAAACTAAAACTGAAACTAAATATAAAAACTAAATAGAAATGTGTTCACAAAATAAAAACTAACAAAACCATTAATGAAAATAGCTAAAACTAAATTGAAATGTATAGGAAATTTAAAACCAATATTAAAATTAAAACTAATTTAAAAATGAAAAACTATATTGAATATACTTAATCAGGATTTAGCTTCAAGACTGGGTGTTAATATCTAATAACTTTCTTCATTACCAGCTTATACTACTTGATTTAACATTACCTTCTGGGTCAAGCAGTCGTGTGACCCCAAGTTTTTGCTCTGCCACTGAAAATGCCTGTTCCAGGTTCTCCAGGTTGGATAGGTGGTATACTTTCGACATGTCGATAAGCCTGGGCCTGGTGAAATGAAGAGGAACAAACCCATGAGAATCAGTAAGTAAGTGTGAAATAAATGCAGCAGAAAAAGTTTAGAGAGACCTATTATGCTCTTTTACAAAGCCTTGTAAAGTAGATTTTCATATTTGAATGTTCAGAAACACATTATTATTCACATATTTGATATTATTGCAGCACCACTCTTCGCAGTCTGCCAGTAACGCTCTGTTTATTTCCTGTCTCTATGAAGCCCCTCCTTCTGAAAAGCACAGTGTGTTCTGATTGGTCGGCTGGACCAGTGTGTTATGATTGTTCAACCGCTTTGAACGAGTTTCTGAAAATTCCCGCCCCTTACCATAATCGCAACTTCCACACACTACTAACAAACTCAAACAGGCCCCGCCCCTTTATTTTGAATATGCCTTGGACGGGAATTATTTAAATGTTGAACATTGTGTTCGTTCCCGGAAGAAAACTCAAGACTTGCAATTCAATACAGAAAAAATGGTAACACTTTACACTAAGGTCCCATTAGTTACGGTAAGTCAATGCATTAACTAACTAACATACGGTAACTAACGATGAGCAAAACATTTGTTACAATATTTATTTTTGTAAAAAAAATTTAACTGTTCATTGTTATTTCATGTTAGCTCAGGTCCATTAAATAATATTACCAGAAACAACATTTGATTTAAATACTGTATTCTTAAAAGTTGTAATTAACATTTATTAAGATTAATAATGTTTTAAACGCATTTTTTAAATTTTAGTTAACAAATGGAACTTTATTGTAAAGTGTTACCAAATATTATACCAAATTTATATATAAATGTTATCATGTTATCATTCTGATTTTATATTTATATGATAACATTTTGGAGTCAGTGGATTTGAATATTGCAGGATAAAATAAGTCATACTAGAATAAATACTAGGCTCAGAGCACAGGTAATGTGACCACCTGCTCCATAAATCCCAAAAAACATCTGTCTCCTGAGGGATGGAGCCATAACTGACATGCCATGAATACCCAGAGATGGGAGTGGCTCGAAACAACAGTGAGAGAACAAATCTATACACTGACACCAAAAGATTCTAAAAACACTAAACCCTTTAGTTTCTACACCATAACTCTACAGAGAGCTAGAAATGAAGCAAGCACCCGGTCCTCTGTGTGGCATGTATGGTGTAAGGCACGGCATAGGATTCTCCAGCGTCTGGCACCGCAGTCCGATCGTCCATGCCGAAGCCTCCGTTGAACTGCCTCAGGTCCCTCTCCGAGCTCCAGTCTGGCTCATATCTCGTCTGAGAGTCCCCGCTGGAGCGAGCGCCTGGACTCTGGGAGCCCCGGCCAGAGTCCAGGGAGCTTTCGGAGGGGATATCCTCGCACAGCATGATCACACGGTCCTCCGAGTCGCTGGCAGAAGCCACGGTACTGCTGGAGCCGGCCCGGCGCTTCTTAAAGGACAGGCGCCTCTTCATGTTCAGCATCATCGTGTCCTCCTCAATGCGTCCACACATGCAATTCCGACGAAATATTTCTCCAATTATCAAATATCAATAATGAACCCTTCTGGTATTAGTTATTCTTCTTTTTCTCCAATCCATTTGTTCCCAAAGAGCTCCAAAGAAGAAACCGAGTTGAAGTTTGATCGTTGTTGTTTGTCTGCAGGTGGTGCCTGTGAAAGTCTCTGCCCTGTTTCTGAAAGGAGGCAGATCCTACAACTCCAATGGGTGTTCCTGGCTGACAAAGGCATCAAATCCTCCCTGTTCATGCGAGGGTCAGCGGGGCGTACCCAAGCTTTGCAGGTACACGTCCATGCTTCGGGAAAGGTGCCCTGCGGGGAGGCCTGTCTCCGCTCCAACAGGCACCACACCTCACGGCATTTAGCGTTTCAACTTTCCCTGTACAACTGCCTTCATTGTTCCCTTCTATTAACACTACTTTCTTATTCAGTCTCGCCCTGCTCTCTTTTGTCCTTGCGTCTGTATACGGGACACACCCTCATTAGAGAAAAACTGTTTTCACTTGGCCTGGAGTGGCTTTGTTTCCTTTTTGCAAAACACTCTATCATGTATTTCATTGTATAATCGATGTTCATATCGTTCCAAACCACGTGGAACACAAAAGGAAACATTTGCAAGAATGTACATGCTGGGTCTTTTCCATACGACGAAACCAGACCGTGGGCTGCCAAACTCCACAAGGTACGCCATACAATTAGTGCACCATATTTCAAGACTTCTGATGTCAAATGCTATTTTTGTGTGAGGAACAGACTTAAATTATGTCATTTCTTCCATAGCTCTCAAATCATTTCCATAAATCGTATCATTATACTGTAGCTTCGAGCATCTCTTGCTTAATGGAGAAGAGCAGATCAGAAATTATGCATAATATTTTATTTTGTGTTCATTAGAAGAAAAGTATGTTTAGAAGAATTTAAATATTTATATGTTTGAACTTCAAAGACTGATAAAGTGATGTGACGGACGGTATAAACTGTCAGTCGTGTGCACAACGCTGATTTGACATGTCTATGCTCAGGTGGTTTATCCGAAAATATGTGCTTCAGGTCAGAAAATTTCAAGTACAAGTTTAGTCAAGAGTGAAGCTCAATGTTGAGTCAGGAAAGAACCAGATTAACACATTTCTATATTCCAACATCCAATAGAAGGCTGCCATTTTGAGTATCTATCCAACTTATTCTTAACGTAACAGCGGGTCATCCGCTTCCACTTATTTCACCCATACAAAAATAGTCTGTTATGCTAATTAATATTGCAAACTGGCATTTGTTATGTTATTTTAATTCATTATCATAATGATAAACACACTGGTTTGTAGTGCAAATAGTTTGATCATTTACTGCACTTTGTTGTTCTTCTTTTTACTTAAAGCGGCTAATGAATCAGAAAAAAACAGGATCAATATTTCAAGAAAATATCAGGATATCAAGGTAACACTTTATTTTTCATGGTCCACTTTAGACATTCTACTAACTGTAAGTAACTTTGCAACAACGTCAACTTATACTACAAACTCTAACCCTAACACCTAACAGTCTATTATAGTCTAATGATACTCTAATGAGAGTTAGTTGACATGCAGTTGCAAAGTTACTTATAGTTAGTAGTATGTCTAAAGGGAACTATTCAAATAAAGTGTAACCTAAAAAAAAGAATGAATCACATGACTATTATTGAACAACTTTAGACTTGGAGCAACTAACTATACAAGCACACACTCCATCTTAATCTTGAGCTTTGGTAAAGAGGCACTTACTCATGTTTGTGTATAACCGCGTTGAAAAGTTTTCCGTCCCTCCAGCTAGTGGTGAAGTTATCGCAGCGGATACCGTGATAACCCTCCACCATACGCTGAGACCAGAGGAGCAGCTTTTCCTTCGCTGACATATCATCTGACTGACCGTTCACCTGGATATCTGAAATCTACCGGCCCAGAAATAAATGAGTTTCATGGATTTAGCGGCATGCAGCAGCGGTAGCAATATGTTTATTGTATAATAATCAATAAATAATTAGTGGTTGAAACAAATCTTAGTCATGCAAATTCATTCCCACTAAATACCATTGACCTCCTAAGACCCTCCAGAGACCCTTCTGAGACCATTCTGAGACCCTTCTAAGACCCTTCTAAGACCCTTCTGAGACCCTTCTGAGACCCTTCTGAGACCCTTCTAAGACCCTTCTGAGACCCTTCTGAGACCCTTCTGAGACCCGTCCACATACTCAATGCATGAATGAATTCACAGTTTGAAGTAGCTAAACAACAGTATCTGCCACAAAACAATGAGGATCTAAATTAGATAAACTTGAAAGCATACATTTATACACTAAATATATAGTTAATAAAACCAGCATTAAACTAGATATGTATTTGCCAGCAAAAAGTCCAAAATGCTATTCTTCTGGCAACAGTGATGATTCTGAGAATTAGGTTTCAATAAATTAATTCCAAAACAAACCATTTGAAAGAATCAATTCGCTAAAATAAAAAAGTCAACCCAAGGTAGATGCATTGACCCGGAAAAGCCGAAAAGAAAGAAAAAATGGCGTGATTTGCAATGGACACAGATTAAATGAAATGAAAACAAGCTTTTGCTTTCCGCACCATCTTTTAAGGTCAGCAAAGCATTGGTCTCTTAAGACGGAGACAAAAGAGGAGAGCCCTTAATTGCTGCAGCCTGGCCATTGAAAAGAGTCATGTGATCGTGGTTGGGTGTCCGTCTGAGTTGACGTCATTCGCCACCGTCGCTTGTTCAATGGCGTACAACTAGCATTGACAGGGGAATATCCGATCTGTCCACTTATATGGCAAATGCAAATGCACGTATTCGATTCATATCAGATTTATTTCCACATATGAATGAGGCCTGAAACCGATCAGAGAATATCGTATATATGCTTATACGTTCATTGGTCATATCCCATTTGTGCCACATGGGAGAACAAAATCTAAATTCACTTGAACCATGTAAAGTAAATACAGCCTTAGTTACTCACACACACTGTTTTAAGGCTAGCATTTTGACAAATGATGGTGACCAGGGGGCTGTTCCATAAACCAAGATTAGAGTATAAGCCAGGATTATTTCGGTTAGTTAGTCATTATTATACTCTCATTCCTGCGTAATAATCAAGAAACTTTACTGCCGTACCATGAGTGCAGCAGGCGTAATGATAAGACGCAGCGCCTGAAAATAGTTCCGTTGTGTTGACGGAAGGTAGCCTATTTTCAGGCGCTGCGTCATATCATTACGCCTGCTGCACTCATGGTACGGCAGTAAAGTTTCTTGATTATTACGCAGGAATGAGAGTATAGTTCCTAGCCATATCAGCCTAGAAAATCGCAACTTTACATTTTCCGTCGGTCTTAGTGCATGATGTAACTAGAGAAGAGTCAAGTTTTAAATAGGAAAAATATCGAAACACTTTGGTCATTTATTTTTGAGAAATGCTAATGGTCTTGTCCACTTCAATGATGTATGCTAAGCTATGCTAAAAGTGGTATCGCCAGAACCGGAGATCGGCTGAATGGATTCAAAAACGGTAAAACTCAACAGTTTAACTCTGGGGGAGTTGTAAAATGAGCCTATTTCCAAAAAAAGTGGAGTATCCCTTTAAAGATTCTGGTCCCCCTAATAAAAATGACATAGTATAGACTACATTAAACAATCAATAAATGGTGTTTAATGTCAATCGGGATTGAATATAAGCACATGGGAGGTTGGCACCATCTAAAACCCTGGTCATGAGACTCTCTTATTGCTCAGGCTACCTCCACAAAGAGTCCTTACACCACCCCTACACATAAACCTCTCTGCCTCTTCTGGACAAACCAGAAGTCCTGACAACTTATTTCCTCTATCTAAGGAAATCAGACTCTCTCCAAAAGCTGGACGTACCCAAGCAGCATAATCGTCTGAATTTGCGTCAGACTCCTGCAGCTGTAACATGACTGTTTTTTTTTTTTTAATTGATTGAGGTGGAATAAATCCGGGTGTGATTGTAATTAAACGCGTTGAACAACAGATTCACATAATTAGGTCTAAAAAATTGCCTGGATATTAGATTATGAAATTAGATTAGATCAGAGACTTTCAATTCCTCATGTTGCCCAAGACACTGAACAGATTCGTTTACAAAATCTTCATTTTCGCATACTAAAACTATTGTGGTCGGATCATATTAGATATATTATAAAACAAGAGAAACTTATTTTATTGCTTGAGGCAGATACTGGTTTGAAGCAAAAAAAGGATTGACCCCGTTGATGTTTGATTTGAAGGTGTAAAATAATTATGACCCAAGTGAACTGGTGATTGACCCAGTTTTAAGTGATTGGCCAGAGTGATTTGGAGCCCAGGAGGACGAGGAGGTAAATGGTATGGGAACTTAACACTGACAGAATAGGAGACCTGGAAGTGAAGGATGATGGTCCATATGAGACCCAATGTCAGCTTTGGGTTTCCGTCGGCAATATCATCATTCCTGATATTCACCAGCTTGACCTGTGATTTCCAGAGAAGAACATCAATTCACATTTGAGTTCAAGTTTAATGTGATAGATTGTCTAACAAAACACCATTGTAAGCATGTCCACCTAAAAATAAACCTTGTATGACTTACTTTTTTTTCCTGTGAAACACTCAATGAGTCATTTATAGCAGAATGTCCAAGCTACTCTTTTCCACACTATGAAAGTTAATCATTACCACAACTGATGATGCACATGTTGGCTTTTTGTAATGCTTTGATGGTCAATTCTGCTGTGACCAGAATCTGATCCCAATTAACTTTCACTTTATGTAAGGGTGCAGCTTGGACATTCTGCTAAACATCACCTTTGGCAAGCCACGAAAAAAGAGGAAAATACAGGTTTGGAAACAAAAGAGGTTGAGTAAATGAGGACAAAAGTTTCATTTGGGAATAAACTATCGTTTTAATTTAGTTTGAAAGATGAGTTGGTCTCGTACCTGCCGGCGTCTGAGGAAATCCAGTGCTATCTGCACATTCTGCAGTTTATGGAATCGCATGCGTCCTCTCTCACGAGGCTGTGGAGACAGACAGAAGCCGGTTAAGACTCATAACACAAAGGATGAGACTGAGGCGTGTCCTTGAGCATCCAAGCTTCCTTTTGAAGGTCGAAATGAAGGAAGAGTGAAAAACGTGGAGAACCTTTTTATGAAGCTAATATATATGGTTACAATTTACTTTGATGGTCCACTTTAGACATTCAGGCTAACTTTGCAACTACATGTCAACTAACTCTCATTAGAGTATATTAGTAGACTGTATAAGTATAAGATTGACATGTACAGTACTTGCAAAGTTACTTATAGTCAGTAGTATGTCTGTTGGGGGAGCATCAAAATAAAGTGCTAGTATTAGCTACTAATCCTCTAATGACTGGTAGTTGACATGAAGTGGCAAAGTTACTTATAGTTAGTAGAATGTCTAAAGTGGACCATACAAATAAAGTGTTAACTCATATATGAACACTAAGAAAATACAAAAGACAAGACCCCATGAAATCAAATCTTTAAGTCCACGTCTGCTAGCATTTATGACATTTACATGTAAGTGTACTTAAAACTAAATCTGTATTGATGATATACCATCTTTATCTTCCATGCTAGAATGAGCACGTCCTCTACATAAACAATGCAAACTTTGATAAGCCCCACCCCAACTTTCTGTTTCAATAGGAAATATATCAACACAGATAACTGAAAAACTGCAAGTGATTTCATGGGGTCTTCAAGACTACAGTATATGACAGAAGTGATGGTCACGTGACTTCAGGGATGTAGTGTGAAAGCTCAAAATGTATTATAGAAAACAACCCAAAACATATTTACCATCATTAAACATCTGACTCACCATCTGACACACCCTTTTATGCAAACACCGTTTTATGACCTGAACACCTTAAACTAGCTTTAAACTGTAGTCCAGACTGCAAATATGTCTTGCGCAAAAGTTTTGTTCAGCACTAATGATCAATTATAGGCATTTCGCTAATAGTCAGGGTAGTTACTTAGATATAATTAGCTATTTCAGTCACACACCCAAACTATGACGAGGTTCAGAGAGATGATGTAATAGAGAAACAGCCTCAGTCATGCGCAAGTGGAATTAAAAAGGGTAACTATAATGTTATTCCTACCAGTGAAACTTCAAAATAAAAGTCCCTCAGATTAAAAGAAAAAACATCCTTTATTAAGACGCAATGTTTTTTCCCCAAACAGATCTTAAATCTTTCAAGTCTTTTTATTTACAATTCTTAATGAATTCTTTTAACAGTTAGCTCTTTATTTTAATCAGTTGAGAAACTTAGCATTGACGAACATAGCTTGAAACATTAAGTAACTCTAGGAAGCGAATGAAAACATGACTACAAGAAGACTGGCGGAAGTGACATCATGCGCAAGCCAGCCACAGTGAGTGACCCATGCCAATGAAGCATCTACATCACTCACCAACCGTACGCTCCGCACAACGTCCCTCTCCCTCGTCTTGACCCAGCAAGAGAAGTGCAAAGAGAGCAGACAGAGGTCAAAGGGCAAAGGTCAGCAAAGAGATGGTGGGTCAGTGTCATAGGAAGATAGAATGAAAGGCAGAGAAAGAGTCAAAGATGTGCCACACAGGGGGGAAAAAGCCAGAGGGTGAAGTTAATGTCTTAGCTATAGCCAAGAAATTAAGCAGTATGATGGGGTAATGTCAAGATTTTGAATCTGAACCCAGTGTTTTGGATGTGATACAACATAACATCTTTCGAATTTGAAGACGTATTCCAAGGCATCGCCCATAAATATGGGGGGGTGTTCAGGTCTTCCTTGACCTGAAAGTCTGGATCAGGACTTTGGATGTGTTTGAAGGCTGAGGGCAAGGTTGGATGTTTGAGGGTGGGAAGGTTGGAAACTGAATGGAAGAAGAAGTGATGGGTCTTCTCTTGTTTGGCTGTGCTGCATTAGCAGAAGCATAAGCCCTACATAG